AAAAAAACAAGCTGAAGAGTTCATCTGAAGAGTGAACTAATGAATGGAGTGCTCTGTCTGCTTATTTGTCTGTATGCTTCCCGGGTAAACTTCTTTAAAAGATTATCTGCAAAGAGAAATACTGTCCCAGTCATACTTTTTAAGAATATTTATTTTTATTGGAAAGGCAGATTTTATATAGAGAAGAAGAGACAGAGAGAAGGTCTTCCATCCACTGCTTCACTCCGCACATGACCGCACCGTCCAGAGCTGAGCTGATCTGAAGGCAAGAGACAGGAGCCTCTTTGGGTTTCCGACATAGGGGCAGGCGCCCAAAGACTTGGCCATCCTCCACTGCTTTCCCAGGCCATAAGCAGAGAGCTGAATTGGAAGCAGAGCAGCTGGGACACAAACTGGCACCCACTACAAGGTGGAGGTTAGCCAGTTGAGCCATGGCAACAGCCTCTGTCATATTTATTATTAAGTGTATTCTTTTTATGGATATTCATAATCAAGAATATATTCATGAATTCTAGCTGCAGGCAACGGCCTAGGTTGCAGTGTACCTAGACAAGTGTTACACTGCTGGGAGAAAAGCTGCTAATAGCTGGTGGAAATTCTGGGCCTGGTTAATGCCAAATTTGTGTTAACTATACCAGTATGCAGCATAGTTGCCTATTCTGTTTTTTATTTCCCTGAAAAATATGTGGGGTGTACATGCTGGCATGTCAACAGACAGGTTCTGGGGACCCACACACAAGGTGCATGGGCGCTGAGCAGGCAGACAGGGCCCCAGACTACACATCACCAAAGGACTGGGCATGGGGGTCTGTTGGCATGGGTAGGGGGCTCTGGATTGCTCAGGGAAGTGGGTTTTTTGATGTGTGGGAGGCAGGATTGCTGAGGGAGAATGTGAGAGGTGAGGAGTGGCCACTGCACTTGCAGGTAAATGAGGGGCCTGAGACCAGTTGGTTCAGAGGAGGGAAACCAGAGGACCTTTTGGGGCCAAAACAATACACCTGCCCATGTGGGAGACCTGAGCTGGGATTGTTGGTATCAAGCACCACCTACCGTGCACACAAAAGCCATGCCTGGAGGGCCTGCCTGGCAGGGCTTGATCACAATATCCACCAGTGACTACTGGGAAAGGGGGTGGATCATGGTAGGCTGGGCCACGACACTACTCAGCTCTTGAGAGAACTAGGTCTGGGAGCAGATTCTGTGGGGAATCATGGACTCACCCCTGTGGGATTGCCATCCCAGCTGGTTTGCTCAAGGGTTGGGATGGTGGTGAGCTGAGCTAGAAATGTCCATTAGAACTTACCAACACTCGTAGGCACTGGGGTTGAAAACAGGCTGGGCTGGTCCAGGCTGTGTCACTCACAGGTGCACCAAAGAATTGGGTATGGGACAGACCAGGTCACAACACCAGAACACAAAGGCCAGTACTTGGAGACAAATTGTGTTGGGTAAGGGTTTAGCACCTGCTGGCATGTGTCAGATCTGTGTCTGGAAGTAGACCTGGTGGGGCAATTTGGGGAACTCCCTGGACACTGTAGCTCCCATTGGTGAACATGACTGTCAGGGCTGGGTGTTGGTCAGGCCGGCTAGGGCTGCTTCACTTCTTGACTGGTATGTGGGTTGGTTCTGTGGGTATAGGGTCAGACCAAACCATAGTATGCTGGCATGTGCAGGCCAGGCCAAGCTAGGCTAGGCTATCACACAATGGTTTGCATGAAAGCCAGGGGTGGGGGCAAGCTAGGTAGTGCTAGCACCCCCTGTGAGAGTTGGAATTGGGCAGGACCAGGCCAGGTTGCAGCATCTGATGGCAAAGGCAAAGCTGGGTGATGGCTTATGCCAGACTGGGTCGGAACAAACACTGGCATACATAAGATCTATGGGTGTGAACGAGCTTTGTTGGGGAACTAAGGGGTTGCCCCTGCTGGGCTGTGATATCATTAGTGAGCATGAGAACTGGAATGGTGTGGTAAACTGGGCTGGACAGAGCTGCAGCATCCCTTGGCACAGGTGTGCCTAAGATGTATCAGACTGGGCCAGGCTCAAGCACTCATTGGTGCTCGCAAGAGCTAGGGTAGACGTAGGACAGGCTGCTAGGTCTTGGCACTCACTGAACCATATGAGAACTGGGTACGGGAGTGGACCAGGTAGGCCAGAACTGTAGTGCCCCCACTAAGAGGCAGAATGGGTGTGGGCCGGTTGGGCAAGGGCACTGTTCCTGCCAGGGCAAGAGGTGGACCAAGTCAGGCAAGGCCAAGGATCCGCAGGTGTGTGAGATCTTCCACTAGGAGTTGACCTGATAGAGGAGCCTGTGGATCTCCTCTGTCAGAACACAGTCCCGGCAGGTGAGCCCAAGAACCGAGGCTGGGAACAGATCAACCAGGCTAGGTTACAGGACCATCTGACATATGTGTGGGTCAAGTCTGGGGCAGGCCAGGCTGCCAGATGTGAGAACCTGGACCCCTAGTTGGAGAAGCCGGGGTGCTGCCCAACACACAGCGTGGGAGCCCTCTTCAGTCCTGCCTGCAGCATCCAACCCACAGTTCGACTCCTGAACACTGACAGCTATCTAGACCCCTTTTAACACTGTGAAACACGAGCAGAGGCCAATCATCGCACCTGAGCTTGCTGTTGGCATTGGCCCCCCTGCAGGTTTGCCCTTTCCAGGTAAGCCACCCCCTTCTGGCCAGGGCTCCTGTTTCAGGGAGATGGGCCTGGGTCTTCAGTGGTTCTCACTCGGATGGCTTTATTACACATTTCCTTGCAATACCTGAACTGTTGATTGCTCATTGTTTTCCCTTAACTTGGATTTGCTTCTGAACAAAACCAAAACGTCTATTTTACTGTGGGTGAAAATGTGCTGAAATCTTAGGTACCTTTGTAACTATTAAAGTAAAACATTCATCTTTATGGGGTATTCCTCTGGATTTGCCCCAAGGAGACCCCAGGGGACCCTAGTGGTGTTTGGGGGAAATGCCCTGTCTGCCCCCTACTCCCCTCACCATTCCTGCTCCTTCCTACCTGTCCTGCCCATATAATAATAAAGCTGATGACTTTGCATCAAGTTCAACACTCAAGTGTAAGCGGGATTTCACTGATAAGCAATTATAATCAAAACTAACATACAGGAACTACAGAAAGTTCATGGAAATTTGAGTTAAGGGGTATTTGGTACAGTGGTTAAGTTACCACTTGGGACAAGTGCTGGGAGACCTAGTTGTTGCAGCCGGTTTGGGCGTGAATCAGCAGATGGGAGGTTTCTCTTTCCATCTTTATAACTGTACCTTCCAAATTAATGAATATCAAACAAACAAATACGGTCTCTTAAGTTGCTCTGGATTCCAACCCGGTTCTCTCACTAACCTACCAATGGGTCTGATGATAGCTGGGAGGATTAAAGAAATGAATACACATTCAGGACTTAGGCTGCTGTTTACACTAGAAAGTTCCATTCATGGATATATTAGAGCTACGGATTTTGGCAATGGAATCTACAGAAAAAGCAGCCCATGAGTGTACCAGGCTTCTTTTCCTTTGGGAGCCACAGGCAGGTGTGCACCTGCTTGCTGACCACGTGTTAACCAGCCCAGGTGCTCGTTACAGGTGTTAGGCCTTTATTACGGAATGCTAGAGGCCACCCAGTGACTTAACCTAATATCTGTTTAACTGTATTTTAGTTATGTGAATTAGATCCTCTAGGCAAATTTGAAGATGATACCTTTATTTCCACCCCCATTCTCAAAAGCGTATTTTATTATAGAGCTTGTTATGTTTGAAAGCTTTGAGTATATTTCCACTAAGTATTGGGAGCAGTGCAAACACAGGTGTGTGTCTTTTCCAAATGTTGTAACCTGATGACAAAAGTACAATAATAGCAATTCTAAAACAAACCACACATCTATCAAACTAGTTAATAAGCTTTAATATTTCGTAACAACTCTTTCTAGGTCCTAACAAAAATATTTTTGCCAAGTTCTGTTTTGAAATAAACATCTGCTACATTGATTTAAAATGTTTTTTATTTTATTGAACATTATCAATTAAACTTATAGGGAACAGTAAAACCATATGTTAATAAAACATTTAATTCTAATTTTGAATTCTAATCAGGAAAAAGCATTAAATACATTAAGAATTCATTAAATATGTATCTTTGGTAGGTTGTATCTGTAATGAAAACCATCACATGAAGAAAAGGTATTCAGCTAATACTGAAAGCCAAAATTCCTCTAGAATTTTGTATTTTGTCATTGCCAGAGTTCTTTTTTAATTGTTAGTTTATGTTGGAGATAAAATAATCAAAATCACTTCTTAAAGCTATTTTTTAAAGATTTTTTTTCTTTTTATTGGAAAGTCAGATATACAGAGAGAAGGAGAGACAGAGAGGAAGATCTTCCATCTGCTGATTCATGTCCCAAGCAGCCGCAATGGCCAGAACTGAGCCAATCCAAAACCAGGAGTCTGGAGCCTCTTCCAGGTCTCCCACGCTGGTGCAGGGTCTCTTAAAGCTATTTTAACAGGTTCTAAGGCTAAATAAAATTTTATGAGATGACCCAAGGGCTAGGATTATAAAGTTTCTTTCTGAATCTGTTCAGGCAGCCTCCATGTGAGCTAAACATGGATGTGTGAAATGCTCTGATAGCTTCCAATGGAAACCAAGCTTAGAAAGAGGCCAAGGGACTCCAGTTCTGCTGCAGCTGACAAGCTCCGTGAACTTGGGCCAGAGTCAAACCTTCAAGGGCTCCAATTGCCTCTGTGCTCATTTCAGAGACTCACGCTTTCCCAAGCTACTTCTAGGTGGCAAAGCTGGTCTCAAAATGCTGTGCAAAATTTCCTTGTACTGTCAAAACATCACCAACTAGTAATGTTGACAATCAGTATCCTATCAAAAACATAGGTTTGTATGTAAGGGAAATCCCCTCACCCAACATGAGATGTGCACAGGCAGGCAGCGGAACACGCAATGGCATCAAGAAGCAGGATGGTGCGCCTTGGAGTAGCTTTCAAAAGTCCTCTGTGTCATAGCTCAAGAATGGGACAACTCTATCTGGGTAACTTATTGCTGAGCCCAGCCCAGACAGACACACATCCCAAGCATCCGCTCTGTCTGTGCTAGAGCGAGCCTCCTTCGGAGGGAAATCCAGCATGGGGCTCATGGCCTGGCAATCTTCAGTAAGCTTCAAGCCAAAGATCCCTGCGGGTGAGGCTGCCTGGGTGGTACTGGCTACAGGATTCAAGGGTTCAGGATAGACTGGCTGGAGGGCATTTTCAGAAACAGAGTTGCAGCTGGAAAGGCTCCCCTGCTCCAGCACATGGTCACTGTAGGGCCAAGCTGGGGGCTGGAAGGCCTGGTAGGATACTTTGGTGGTGGTGGTGATTACTGTTTGCAGGGCTGGAGCGTTCACTGGGGAGGATGGGAGGTGCCTGCAAGGAAGCTCTGGGTCATAATAGGGTCTGGTGGCCACAGCCTGGAACTCTCCATGGTCAGTCCTCTCCCGCGAGCCAGGTCTACCAGGAGCTGGTCTCCAGCCATGCTGCTGACCTGTGAAATCAAAGCTTTTCTCATGGCTGCTGCAGGAACTGACATCATAGGGAAGTGTGTTCAGATGGACCCAGTCTGTGCTACTAGACACAGAGGTGGAATCTGCATACAGACTAGGATACGGGCTTGGGTATGTGCACCCAGGGCCTGCCAACTCATAGTGGCAAGGTGGCCTGGGCAGATAGAGTCTTGTGGTTGGGTACTTGCGAAAGGATGGCATTATGTCTCCTTGGAAGGTAGCCAGGTCACAGGTGGCTTTGTAAGCCTCACAGTTCGAGAAGGCGGGCCAAGACTGGGTTGGAACAGCAAAGCTGATCTCAGTGCTGGTATCAAGCAATTCTGGATTTTCCAGGGGTGGTAATTCGTTGAAATTTCCACTGCTGTCTTGATTCACTTTTGCCTTAAAAAAATACGCAAATATAAGCAAATAAGCATATGTGATATGCAAATTATGTGCGTACCCTCACCTATAACAACAGCCAAGCATATACATACAAGCCGAACCCCAGTTGGTGGGCTGTGTGCTGTAGAGTCTGTACTGCTCAGAAACTGGATTTGAGCCCAAGTCCTAGAGAAAAGCTTGAGTTGCCTTGGGCACGAATACTACCCAGTGAACAAGCAAGATTCTCCAGCAGCCAAGCATTTGAGTTTGAGCAGCCAATGATCCAGTTCTCACTCGTACGGTGTTCGTAAGAGGGGAGACTCAGGAACCATCCAGTCCTGAGTTCAAGTCCTCCTTCTGCCCCTTACTAATGGAACACATTACCCAACCTCTCTGAGCCTTGGATTCCTCATGGGACTTAATAACAATAACATCCTAGGGATATCATCTTCAATTGAATGTAATCATCAAGCGAATGAAACACAGTGCCTGTTGGAGGAAGGACTAGGCTGGTGACAGTTTCCATTATGCGCACACCAACATGCTGCCCACCTGAAAGGATTTAGCTGAAAGACCAACTGCGTCAAAGTGCCCCAAGAACTGCTGTCTGTTTCCACGTAAAGCAGTGGCCAGTCCTCTGGCAAGGACGCATCTGCTGTAATCTCCCTTACTAATAGTTTGCTTTGTTAAGATTTTAATCACCTACAGCCACCTAATGTCCAAAAAATATTTTAAGTGGAAATTCCTGAAATAAGCAGTGCATGGATTTAAATAAGTTTTATTAGTTTGCTGATATAACTGTTCTATTAAACTTTCTCATAGCTATGAATAGATACTTAAAAAAATGTACAGAGGGGGCTCAGTATGAGTTGTAGTCGGAAGCGTCCACTGGGGGTCTTGGAATCTCTCTCTCATGGTTGAGGGGTTGACTGTATTTCTTTATCACTATTGGATAACTGTGCTTGTATTTTGGATGTCAGTACATACCCTAACTACATTTTTGTCCTTAGAGACTTTATGTAAAGATTTATTTTATTTTTATTGGAAAGGTAGTTACAGAGAAGAGAAACAGAGAGAGAGGTCTTCTATCTGCTGGTTTATTCCCCAAAAAGGTTGGAGCTGAGGAAGCCAGGAACCAGGAGCTTCTTCTGGGTTCTCCCCCATGGGTGCAGGGGCCCAAGTCCTTGGACCATTTTCCACTGCTTTCTAAGGTCATTAGCAAGGAGATGGATGGGAAGTATTGTGGCTGGGATTAGAGTTAGTATCCATATGAGGTGCTAGCCCCACAGGCAGAAGATGAGCCCCCTATGCCACTGTGTCCAAGGGACAGAGGTAGTTTTAAAAAGGAAGGATTAAAATCCTTCTCCAGAGGTGGCTTTGCCACAGCAGTTAAGTTATTGCTGGGGTTGCCTCAAGCACTCTCTGAACACCCTGGTTTTAGCTTCCTGCCAATGTGCCCACTGGGTGGGGGCAGCAAGGTGATGGCTCAAGCAGTTGGGTCCCTGAGAGATGCACATTGAGTTCCCAAGGTCACGGCTTTGCCCTGACCCAACCCTGGCCATTGCAAGTATTCTGTCTCTTCTGCCTTCTAAATAAATAAATGAAAACGTGGAAATTTGATGCCAATGTTGACTTCATGTAATTTTGTCAGAGGTATGTAATTTTCCCCTAAGAGCATAGCTCTTCCGCTAATAGTGAGATTCCCATTTCAGTAATGAGTATATCTTGCCATGGAGATAGACACAGATTTTAGCGCTGTGCCAATTCCCCATTACCTCTGGTTCTCGAATTCTCTTTTTCTGGGGTGGGTAGAAAGCAGCCATGTGTCTTTTGATGGCACTTCTTCTAGCTTCCGTCTCTGACTTACTCTCTGGTCTTGGGTGATCATGGACCCCCTTGGCCTGCATTAAAGAAGAAATGAGACATAGGTTGGTTCTTCTAAAGTGGAGATGGGAGGGCTCGGTTCACAACAGTCATTTAGTGTGGTCCTGCCAAGGGGGCTGCAGGACCTGGAACTCAAACAACCTCCAGCACGCCAGTTTTTAAGTTGATCATTTGTATGGCTCTTGAATGAGGTTATAAATCTCCAAATGGTCCTTGACAGACAACATGGCTCCCTACCCTAGCAGCTCGCCCTCCCAAAGATCCCAAACTGATGTTTCCTAAATCTTAGAAGGGGAAAAAAAAAATTCTTGAAGAAGAAAATGTCATCAATCATAGACATCTCAAAAGATGGCTTGCAGTCCCTCAATCCTGCTTAACAAGGCTATTTCTGGCCCAGAAGCACACAGCCTACAAGCTATTGCCTAACAGGACCCTCGGAGAGGCAGCACCCATTTCTTCCTGCTGGAGCTTCAATGAAAACACCCATCACCAACTGTCTTCTCACTTTATCTACCTGAAAAAATATGGCGTGGCCATCAAGTCGCCAGAAATTGGTCACAGGGTATCCGCTGTGCCCGCGACAAGGAACCAGCTCCAAAGGGGAGTGACAGTTGGGGCATGGTTTCTCTGTAAAACCGAGAGAGAGAGAGAGAGAGAGAGAGAGAGAGAGAGAGAGAGAGATGAGTAATATGCAAGTCCCAGGGACCCTCTAAGGGATCAAAGAGGACAGTGGGTTGGGAAGAGGGGGCCAGCGACTCCCAGGCCGCCCCTGCACCCTCACTCTGCTGTTTTAGCCGCGCCTTGTCACAGATGGCAGGTCGCAGCTGCAGCTGGGAGCCGTCAGGCAGCATGCAGGCCTGTGTGCACACGACCACGCCCAGGCACGACTTCTTGAGGATATTGCCATTGTGGTTGTTGGTGTTGCGCATGGCCCAGCCGCTCTGGTGGCGTTGCGCCTTCTTCTCATCGCAGCGGTAGATGAAGCGCACGTAGCCGTCGGGCCACTCTCGGAAGTGGTCGAAGTGGACTGGCTCCTGGCAAGAGAGGAGGCTCATGTCACCAAGCTCAAGTTGTACGCCCTGGACTTCGAGTTTCAGGTTATTGTTAAATCCAAAAATGTTGCAAAACATTGGACTACATTGTCACAAAATGCTGCACCTCCTGTGTGCATTTTGGACAAATGGGTAGGCACTAATGAGTACATAATGCCCATTTTCTAAGTGCCCCCCTGTCTTACTTCACACAAATTATCGTGCCCATGTAACCCAATAGAATGGAGGCCTGAGAGGTTGGTTGGCCTGTCCAATGCTACACAGCTCACAGCTTCCTCTGGATTTACAACTTGGCCCTTGAACTCCAGAGTCTGGAACTGTTGGTTTCTTACCACTTCTTGATTTGTTCAAATGTTATTTTCAAGTGAACTATGAAAGTGCCAGGGTAAAAAGGAACTGCATTGATCTGTCATGGAAAGGATACATAACCTTAATAATCTTTATTGTAATCCAGTGTCTTTTTCTCCCAAAACTCCTGACTTCCTTCTGTGCTAAACCTGCCAGTCACATCAGCAGTTAACGCCCACAGCACGTCCAAGAGGCAAAGCCCGCTGCCCTCTGGGCTCCTAGTTTAGCTCACCAAGCTCGTGATGGTGCTTCAATGCCGAGCCACAGTGACGAACCTTCTTGAATGTTGGGGAGCGTGTCTGGCACTGGACTTCCCCCAAGAGCAATCTGCAAATCTCTTTTTCCACCACAAAGGAGCATGGCTGGGATAATGAACTCCAGCTAAAACCCTTCCTGTTACTTCCATAGTCACAGTCGGTAGGCTTTGTCTATTTTATGGACTGTTTATGTCACCATAAATATCTTTTTTGCTGAGTGCTGACTATTCATTTACCAAGTACACTTTGGAGCAGTATCAGTGAACAAGGGAAAGAGGATCACTTTGGATCTGCTGCTTCTTTTTATGTAGTCTTGGGCCAAGAATGGCTCTTACATTTTTAAGTGGTTGGGGGAAATCAGAAGAATAGTATCTTGTAATATATGGAGCTTATATAGAATCAAAGCCACAGTATCTGAAAAGTCCGTTGGAACACAGCTACAGTCTTCCACGTATTGTCTATGGACGCTTCTTCGTTGTAATGTGGTGTCTCAGAGTAACAGAAACAGACTTCATAATCTTTGAAATGTTATATTGATGTAAATTAATCTACTGATTTGATCTTAATTCCCAAGTGATATTTCATACTACTAGCTCTATGCAAGCATCTTTGAACATTCAACTTTAGGTCTTAGTTTATTACTAAGCAACAATTGAGGGTCTACATTCAATCCTGTCCTGTAAGGCTACAGGCTGAGCACTAGATCTCATGCTAGGGACACAGCAGGTGCACACATGGAGGACACTATTCGAAAATCAGAACATCAGCAGTGGATTCCACGATTGGGTTCGTTTGCTCTGATGCGTTGGCATATGCGCGTGTGTGTAATGATACACACGGAGAGACCACAACCACAGCACTGAGACACAGTTCAGATCATTATCTAGTTCCTCCACCTGATGACAGCTCAGTCACTTGAGACTAAGACAAACTCAAGGCTTCCCTCAAGGTCATACAGCCTAGTGAGCTGGTTTCTCCTTCAGTTAGCCTCAGCAGGGCTAGCATGCTAAGCTTCCTCCATTCTCATTTCACATCCCGATGAGTCTGTCCCTTTTATGATATTACACGCATTCCCTACGGAAGAAGCAGTCTTCCCAAGGGGCGGGGGAGGGATCTTTGAGCAACGAGCCATTGCTGCATTATCTGGAGGGGACTCTTCTAAAATACAGAGTCAGAAGGTTTTTCCATGAAAATGTATGTGGACGGAAGTCAGGCAGAATGAAAAACAAATCTGTGAATTGTGATCTATTCGCACAAAGACAGCACAGAGACTGAACTTATTCCAAACCTGCACATCCCAAGGAGGCGATGAGCACAAATGAATTCAAGTTCATCGGACACATAATAGAAGGTCTCTGAGGCTGCCACCGCACCGCCTGGCAAGTGTGAGGAAGCCACTGCCATGTTTCTGCCACCTGTACCCACGACCTCAAAGCCGCCCCTCAGTTTTGAGACAAGCCAGCATCAAGTGTAGCTGCCCAGTTTGTCCTCTGCACTTGGACCGCTTCATAGAAAACAAATTCACCCTAAAGGAATGACTATGATGCAGCCTCAAGAGCATCCCTAGGGGCCTTCCGTCAGGCAGGCGGTGGAGGATGGCTGAATCAATGGCTCAGGCTGGACTGCTTCGTTTTAGATCCTGGTCACCTCCATTTCCCATCATAGCTCCTGATTTTGATGCCAGAGAAGCACCATTATTTACATTTCTGTTAGATTTCACATAAGTGGATGAGCGGAGAGGCATTTTGAAGATAACAGGTGCTCCTACTGTCACTGGCCACTGGGGACTTGCAGATGGACGGCTATTTCCAGCTGCCTTCCACGGGTCTTTACACAAGCGTGAGGAGATTGCTGGGACAAGACACTCCCCCAAGCTGAGTCTATCTTTTGTAGACAATACAGGACTTTTTTCTTCTACTTTGGAGGGGTCTCAACATTTTGTGGGGTCTGCTGGCAGGGTTCCTCTCCTCTCCCCTTCTCTGGACAGACTGCTCCAAGTGTCACAGCCACCGGGTTTCACTCACCTGAGGCATATGCGGATCATTAATGTCCCAGGTGAGCTGCATGCCGTGGGGACACGCGCGGTCCGCATCCTGCCCCGAGTCTGCTGGCATCCTCGCGCCTGCCTCGCGATTCTCGGCCCAGGATCCTGCGAGAGAGAGAGAGAGAGAGAGAGAGAGAGAGAGAGAGAGAGAGAGAGAGAGAGAGAGAGAGAGAGAAGGGACAGACGCAAGGTACTTTCCCTCGGAAAAGAAAAGGAGAGGGACAAAAACGAAGAGAGAAAATCGAAAATCCTGAGAGAGCGAGAACGGAGGAGAGAAGAAAGGCGAGAAGAGTTGAAAATCCTGAAGCCGGGCGGTGGGCAGGGGAGCTGGGCGGAGCCCGTCTGATGACCGCATCTGTCGCGTTTCTAGCGCGGGTGCTTGCCTCTGCGCCCTTCCTTGCCCCCTCGGGTCGCCCACGCTCCCGGGTCCGGTCACCCCCGTTTCAGACGGAGCCAGCGAGGTGATGTCGAGGCTCCCAGGCCAGCGAAGCCAACCAAGTCGCAGCGGCAGAGGGGAAGGCGATAAAAGTTAGCATGTCTCAGTCAAGTTGAACACCGCTTTGGATCTGTAACTGGGCTTCCGGATAGGGGCTTAGCCCCAGTCCTTCGAGGCGGAGATTTTCCAGCAAAGTCCCCTGGAAGCCAACAATGAATTTTGCGGGAATGCGAGGGATCCTTGCGCCGGGTTTGGGGGCCGCCCGTTCCAGCTCCTGCGACAGAGGTTGCGGGGGTCCCAGAGGAGTCTCCACTTTTGGAACTAGGTTCATCCACGCCACCGGGGACTGCAAAGAGACCTGGCCCGCACGCACGAGCAGAGCCCTGGGTGGGAACCCCGAAAGAGGGGGAACGAGACGCGCCAGGGGGACGTGGAGGAGGGTGGAGAGGCGAACTCCTAAGTCCCCACCTTGAAGCCACGGCTTTCCTACCTGTTAAACGGTTCCCAACCCCTTCAACACAACTTAAAAAAAAAAAAAATACGTAATTTATCGATATTATGGAAACCTTAGCATGGGAATCTCATTGATTCCATCTCAGTCTAGCGAAACTTTGCGGGACTAGAGATTCCTTGGTGGGGAGAATGTGGCTACGCAGGGCTGGGACCTAGCTGGCTTTTACCTGTGCGGTCGCCCCACCTGCGCCACCGCAACTGAAGTGGCAGAGAAGTACCCTTTGGCTGCGCAGGCCGGCGAGGGACGGTGGGCTTTCCAAAACCAATTGTTTTTGCAGCCCTAGCCAGAGAGAGCCAACCCCTTGCGGTGCGTCACTGCTACAGGAGGCAATTTGGAAAACTAGCACAGCTCCAAACTCAGACACGGCTCTCCCTGAGGGATGCGCTGGGGTTGGGGGCCGCCAGCTAGGAGATGGCCGGGGGCGGGGGTGGGGGAAGCAAATGCGTCTTAGGCGCGCATCAACCTGAGACCGCGAAGGATTATCCGCGGATTATCCGCGCGGTCCAGCCAAGGGCACGGCAAGCCTGCTTAGACGGCTGGCTTCCAGAGCAGCTCTACAGAGGTAGCAGGGTTCTGCTCACCAACGAGGAAAGAAAAAAAAAAAAAAATCCGGGGGTCGGGGGAGGAGGCGGGGGAACAAGGCTTGGTGCATTCTCAACATCTCACGCCCCGGGGACTCTATCGCCCTGTGGCTTTAGTCAGAGTTTCTGCTTAAGGTCTCGCTCAGGTGGTCCAGGCGGCAGTGAAGGCACCCGGTCTCCTCCTTGGGGGGATAGCCCCATCCGCCTTGTCCCTGCTGCCGCACTGTGCCGGGTTCTGCCGCCCCAGCCTTCCCGCCGCTTTCGTGTTGTTTGCCTTCCAAAGTTAGATTAACATTCCTGCCTTGAAATTTTGTAAGGAATCGTTATTTTGGTAAATGTGCTACTTTATATCCACAAGTGGCTTTAAAATAGCTCACAGAAAGTCACTTATAATTACCACTGAAAAAACGTGAAAATTAATTTCTGATCTTGTGCACATCTGGTTAGGTTTGTTGGCTCACCCCTTTCGGAGTGTGTCTAGCGCATACTCACCCTTCAAAAATCAAACTTTAAAAAAAGATTTATTTAATTTTATTGAAAAGTCAGATATACAGAGAGGAAGAGAGAGGAAGATATTCTGTCCTACGATTCACTCCGCAAGTGACCGCAACTGCTTTCCCAGGCCACAAATAGGGAGCTGGATGGGGAGCGGGGCTGCTGGGGTTAGAACCGGCGCCCATATGGAATCCTGGTTCAAGGCCAGGACTTTAGCTGCTAGGCCACCGCGCTGGGCTCCCAAAACGAAACCTTTTAACATAAAGAGAACTCAGTTTCTAAATGCATCTGAGAATCTACTAAAGATACAAAGCCGCTCCTGTGTTTTGTTTGAGAACAGTGAGAGCATCTAATTCTGTGTTGTCATAAAATGTCTGGTTAAAAAAAAAAAGGAAGCTGATCAAAGTAAAAATGTAATTAATAATAGCTACTATTATGTTTTTTACGGCCCCCTGAAGATTTGCATGTATTGCTACTGTAGAGTTCCAAAGAATACATAAAATATATTTTCCCCAAACCGTGCCTCCAACCTCATCTGAAAATAATTGATGCTAGGGCTGGTGACGTGGCCTCAAGGACTAAGCCACCATTGGCATCATCAACATCCCATGCAGGTGCTGCTTTGGGCCCAAGCTGCTGTACTTTCAGTCCCTGTTCCCGTACAAGCACCTGGGAAAGACAGCCCAAGGATCACACTGCAAGTGTGAGGGAAAGCTGTGTTGACTACAGGAGACTCTAGGTGCGTCCCCTCTGGCTTGGATGTGGACGCATGGACATGCCACTACATGAAATCCCACAGCATCTAGTGACAGTGTCTTGATTGTTACCCAAGGGGTACTTTCAATGGAAGCGGCATTTTTAAAAAAAGAAAAATCTTAAAGAAAAAAGAAGGAAGGAAGAAAAGAAAGAGAAAGAAAAAAAGAAGGAAGGAAGGAAGGAAAGAAAGAAAGAAAGAAAGAAAGAAAGAAAGAAAGAAAGAAAGAAAGAAAGAAAGGAAGGAAGAAAGAAAGAAAAGAAAAGAAAGACAGACAGACAACTTTGAGTGTGGGCATGATGGCCCAATTGGCTAATCCTCCAATTGTAAGTGCCAGGATCCCATATGGGCACTACTGATTCCTGTCCTGGCTGTTCAGCTCCCTTCCAGCTCCCTGCTTGTGGCCTGGGAAAGCAATCGAGGACTGCCCCAGTCCTTGGGACCCTGCACCCTTGGGAGATCTGGAAGAAGCTCCTGACTTCGAATCAGCTCAGCTCTGCCCTTTTGGGGAGTGAACAAATGGAAGTTCTTTCTGTCTCTCCTTCTCTCTGTAAATCTGGCTTTCCTATATAAATACATGCTGTTTTTTAAAATCAAACTGCAGTTTTATTTTTTTGCTACCGTATTCACGTATCTTTTTTTTTTTAAACACCACTTTCCGGCTACCCACGCAGAAGGGCATTTAAGCAAAGCAAAATGAAAATATCTCTATGGTCTCAGGAGCGTTGCTGTAATTTTAGGGGCAGGTCTGGTTCTTGGCAGGGAAAGAGCTTAGCTTGGACCCATTCCAATCAACGCACAAAAATCAGCTCTAACGGCTTTGACGTCTAGAGGGAAAGCTTCACCAGGACTTCCGCGTAGGAGGGAAAGCTTTCACCGCCGGGTTCCTGTTCCTGGGATCACCATTTTCTGTGGGTGCAACCGTGAGCGCGCGCCCAGGTGTCCCGACCTGAGTGCGCTGGTTAATCAGGCGCACGTGTGTCTTGATTTCAGGATTGTTATAGGTTTCAGCGGCGTGTTCATCAACTAATACTTCTGGAGAAGCTCTAAATCCAGACACCTGCGACCCAGCGTCCTCCGCCCGCCAGCCTCGCGGGAGGTGGAATGGAGAATAGCGCAGGTGTGCGCGCTCAGGTGAGCGGCGCGCTCGGGGCCGGGGGCTCGGGGGCCGGGAAGGCCAGCGTCGGGCCGGGAGCGGCACAATGCCGCGGGTGAGTGACCCCAGTGGAACCCGGAGCCCACTGAGCCCCGGTCTCTCGGCCTGGTGGTTTGAGGTTTAAGCTGGCGGGGAGGCTCTGGGCTCAGGGGATGGGGCAGCGGGTCCGGTCTGCAGCTTCTAGCTCTTTAGGTTTACTCCGAGTGTTTGGGCGGCGGCGGACCAGTGAGCTAGTTCCTAGTTACTACAGCCCTCGGGAAGGGGGAATTCAAGTTAGAGAGCAGCCGGGCAGATTTTTTCAAGTCGCTCTCTCCGGGTCCAGACCCGTGGTCCCAAACGCTAGGACTCCAGAAAACTTTTGCAACCAAGTGAAGACCTCCCAAGGCAGTCTGCGGTCGCGGTTCTGCCTGAGTCCCTATTGCAGCATTAGTTTAATAATTAGTGTTAATTAGAATACTCCGTTGGTGAAAAAGTCAGTCTGGATTTGGGTCTTTGACTCCATATCCCTTGTTTTCGCGTCTGTAAATAGTGGTGATTAGAATATGACAAAAGTACACCGTTGGGGAATTTTTTGGTCAAGTTCAAGAAGTAGCAGCGTTAGCTCTGTCTAGACATCAAAGTGGATTTTAAAATGCCGTATGTCTCACACTTTGCAATTCCATTGTGAGGGTGAAGTGAGCAGGGAACATGGAGTTAATGTGGTAAGGTGTTTCAAAACCAGGGCTTGTTTCCTGGGGGAAAAAAAAAATTAGGGCTCAGACACTTGTCATAGTTTCTGGACATTTCTCTCGTGGTTTGATTCTTGAAAATTTCAGTATGGGAGCCCTGCGGTGTTGTTTAAATTTGTACAGAAAACAGACTCCTGATCTAGAGAGTCTGACACTTGTGTCTTGATTTCATACAGAGTTTTAGTAGGTTTCAGCAGTGTGTTCATTGATTAGTATTTCTGGAGAAGCTCTAAATCCAGACGCCTACTACCCAGCGTCCTCCGCCCGCCAGCCTCGCGGGAGGCCGAATGGAGAAGAGCAACCTAACATTTGTTTAGTTTGTACTTAGCAGCCTGACATCTGACAATGGTTGGTTCTAAACAGTTGTACTTTACGGTGGCACTATGAAGTTTGGCTTTTTTTGTATGTTAACTTGTTCAAATAGGTTGCACTTTGCTGGTGATCTTCGTGCTGAATTTGTTTTTCAATGCCGTTTCACTCTGACGGAAAGAAGTGGAACGCATAATTAAAATTTTGTGTTGAGGGAAATAATAGAAGACTTTAAAAAAAAACCTTTGAAATGTGATTCTTTGAGTGTTTAAGTCTTTTTGTTGCACACAGAAAAAGAAAGGTCCTCTGAGGTCTGTTAAAGAAGATGATGGGACTGAGAGCCCGCACGCTGCCTTCTTGGTAAAGACTGTTTCTTGTTCCTTGTGTGGGTGAGTTCCAGCCCCTTCCATGCTCCCCAGGGGCCATCAGCACAATGGTCCCTTCCGTTCTCAAATCAGAAGCAGAAAAATCTGTCCTTTCCTGAATCTCCTCCATCCAGTGTATCCACGCTTCTGGTCGGTTTTCACCTTCAGCCACCCTGACAGCGCCCTAGGCTGCAGGATCCTGTGCTGGATATAAGCAACCAAAAATGAACCAAGCTCGAGCAGTGCTTGCCCTCATGATTGAGGCAGAGTCAGGGAGCCAGGTTCCCAGCCGAGAAGAATTAGGAGTCGGAATGGGAAAGCTTTGGAGGTGCAAGGAGGCACTTGGCTTCCTTTGGCACGGGTAGCCCTGGAAGATCCGCTTGACAAGCTGAGATGGGGAGGAACCAGTCACAGGGAAAGGGACAGGGAGTCTGCAGCCTGGCCTTGGAACAGCCAGGTATCAGACCACGCAGAGACCTGCAGATTGCAGCCAAAGGTTTAGGTTGATCCTGAGAGGAGGGACAGCCATGGTAGGGTTTTCAGCAGGCAGGACTGGGGCTGAGGATGCCAGTATGAGGCCCAGCTGGGTGCTCTACAAGGTTTGATCTCAGCTCCAGGCATCTTTTAGAGGAGATAGTTAAGAATGTTACGCAAGTGCATGTACTTAAAACAGGTCTTGGCTAATGTTAGAAAACAAATCAATCTCATAATGGCCAATTTGTGAATTCATCAGCGTCCATGGTTTGTAATGGAATTTTAACTTTTTTCTACTAAGATCATTGGTGCGACTTCATGAGCGTTTTGGGGTTGTAAGATTGCCAGCGTTGCTAAGAATTTTCAGCCGTAGAATCACACGTGTTTCCAGTCAAGTGGGTCTCCAACTTGAGGGTGTGTCAGCATCACGGGACGGGCTCTCTGCTGCATTTGAGTGTCAACAAGCCGAGAAACTTCGATCCCTTGTTACGTGATTGCCTACTATTCAGCGTTGTTCCATGCTGACCTCTATTTCACATTGAATTATTACAGATAATATGATCTAGAAACATTATGAACTGTTCTGGGGTAAGGAGTCATTTGCAAACTGTTGCCTTTCCAGCTTCAGTCACTCATTACCAATGCATTCGATGGCAATGGATTTCAGAAAATCAAGGAATACTTTGAACAGAAAGAGAGCCATTTCCCTCAAAAATACGGTCATCTTCTCTTACAAAAGCTCGACAGATCCATCAATAAGGCAAGTATGTTTTGCTTTACGTTGTGCCCAAAGTCCTGCGTTGCACTGCTGACGTAAGTGGTGACGCAGTGTGGTCTCCTGCCTAGGAGCTGGATCAGCACGCCTTTGGGCACGTCTCCTTGCTGCTCACCTGTGTTCGGCAGTTCTTCATGGATGGTCCTGAAGAGGATGAGCCTTTACTAATTCAGCAGGGACTGATCCCAAAGATGAGTGTCACGTGGCCATTGCTTGAAGTTCTGGGTAACCTGAAGGATTAGGGTAGATGTAGTTGTGTTACACTTTTCTGTCCCATGGAGACCAAATCAGAGGAGAAATCAGTACCCTGCTACATCTGTATATGGTGGGGAGGGAGGTGGAATGGTGACAAAAAATGTTTTTTGAGGAGGAGAGCTGGAGTGGTGACCAAGGTATTTTATTTTAAAAAAAGATTTATTGTTATTTTTTATTGCAAAGATTTGCAGAGAGAAGGAGAGACAGAAAGATCTTTCATCCACTGGTTCACTCCCCAAGTGGCCCTAACGGCCAGAGCTAAGCTGATCTGAAGCCAGGAGCCAGGAACTTCATCCGGGTCTTCCACGCAGGTGCAGGGTCCCAAGGCTTTGGGCTGTCCTCTACTGCTTTCCCAGGCCACAAGCAGGAAGCTAATGGGAAGTGGAGCAGTCAGAATACAACCTGGCACCCTTATGGGATCCTGGCGGTTGCAAGGCAAGGATTTAACCACTGAGCTATCACACTGTGTCCAACCGAGGTATTTTAAAGCATAGCTTCATGGGATGGTGGACAGTGCTTGCCATGTTCTGAAATGCCAAGCCTGGGCTTCAATTTGTTCTACTTCCAATCCAGCTACCTGCTAATGTGTTAGGGGAAAGCAGCAGCACATGGCCCAAGTGCTTGGGCCACTGCACCCTATGTGGGAGACTAGGATGCAGTTCCAGCTGCTGACTCCAGCCTTGCCAGCACAGCAGCTTTTTGCAGGGGAAGAGAAGCAAGGAGAAGGAGCTATTTTCTTAGAGAGTCCGTCCGTGTGTGTCCCTGTTTCTGTACTCTTTCACATCTTTTTTAAAAAAAGAACTGACCAGGGGCCCGGCGCGGTGGCGCAAGTGGTTAAGTCCTCGCCTTGCACGCCCGGGATCCCATATGGGCGCCGGTTCTAATCCCGGCAGCCCCGCTTCCCTTCCAGCTCCCTGCCTGTGGCCTGGGAAAGCAGCAGAGGACGGCCCAAAGCTTTGGGAACCTGCACCCGCGTGGGAGACCCGGAAGAGGCTCCTGGCTTCGGATTGGCATAGTATCGACCCGTTGCGGCTCACTTGGGGAGTGAATCATCGGATGGAAGATCTTCCTCTCTGTATCTCCTCTCTGTATATCCACCTTTCCAATAAAAAATAATAAAAATAAATCTTTAAAAAAAAAAAAAAAAAAAAAAGAACTGACCTCCCTCAGTTGAGGTCACTTCTTGAGGGGAGATCCTGGGGTTCCTGGCGTAAGTTGGATCACATTAACATGAAAGAGCATGGCATTTTAATCATGAATTTAAGGATGGAGAACATATAGTTTCAGAAGACAGATGATTCAATTTTTTTTTTATTTTTGGACATAATTGCACCAAAATTTTTTTCTTGCTCTGAGCTTTGAATTTAACATAACATTTTGTATCCTTTAATGCAATAAAGGACTCAGTAATATTTTTTATAGACAGTGGATGATTTGGGACATAATTATGTTTCTTGCTGTTGGGATTCCATTTGAATTTCTAAATTTTAATATTTATGGCAAAGGTGAGGAGGTTGCAGACCATTGTGGACCTTTGATTAGGATGGAGAGGGTTGGTTTTGGGGGGCAGTGGGGTGGCTGAGAAAAATGTTCCTGTCTTCCCTTGTCTGTCCACAGGGGAGGAGGGTCGAAGGAGTAGAGAGAGAAGGTGTGCCACTCTTTGCCAGACTACAGTGATGCCAAGGGATGGGGATGGTCGTTGGGTGTCTCCTTAGGGACCCTGATGGGGGTGGAGGGGAGAGAGAATGTCCTGAGGGAGTAATTTCTTTTGGCTTCTTGCACCAGAGGTGAGAAATTCTAAGGTCTCTTGGCTGCCCGCATCTACCTCAGTGTGCCCACAGACTTAGGCAAGGTGCCAAACAGAGGGGACACAAACAAAGATGTTTCATCTGCTGATTGATACTACTACAGCCAGCGCTGGACCAGGGCAAAAGCAGGAGCTGGGAATCCCTGCTGGGTCTCCCAAGCAGGGGGCACTTGGTCTATCCTCTGCTGCTTTCCCAAGTGTAGTAACAGGGAGATAGAGGGAAAGCAGAATAGCTGGGATGCCAGCACCGCAGGTAGTGGCTTAACTCAGTGTGCCACAACTCTAGGCCCCAGGTGATTGAATCTAAAGTGAAGAGTTTTCTGATATAAGTACAAGAAAAGTCTCAGACCTTGTGTATGTTGCAGTCACCAGTCACATGGAGAGAGTTAACCATTGCTCTGTCACCAGCAATGTTGATTTCCTGCCAGCTTTTCCCGTTCCCATTGAGGCTTGTTTGTGATGCTCAGCAGGGTGCTTGATTCTGAAATGCAGTGTTCCAGGCTCTGTAAGGAGCTGTTTATCCAAGCTCCTGCTCAGCAAGAGCCGTTTTCTCCTGACCTGTCTCAGCAAAAATGGTCTTCAGATGGCCTTTGCTTTATTGAGTAAATATGTTCTAGGAAGGTGACAGAAGTTTTGTTTGTTTGTTTTTTCTGACTTACTGATTTTTTTGTTGTTGTCGGAAATGCAGATTTATAGAGAGAAGGACAGCTGGAGACCCAGAAGCAGCTCCTGGTTTCCAAATGGCTCAATTTGGGCTGTTGGGGCCATTTGGAGAGTGAACCTGCAGTTGGAAGATGTATCCGTCTCTCCTTCTCTCCGTGTCTGCCTTTCTAATAAAAATAAGTCTTTTAAAAAGTTTGTTATAAATCATTCCCATCCTAGCAACCTTAGTCCTCAATTCCTGCTGAGAACCTGGGAGCTTAGGAGGCTCCTGGAGCTTTCTGGCCCCATCATGAGTCTTCCGAATGGCAGACCTGAGAGCCAGGCCTACCCGGACACGTGCAGGGAAGAGGGCCTTTAGTCCCATTCTGGTTGCCTGAGAAAATCTCCTAGAGAATTTTCATTGATTAGACTGCTATTAGTCCTGTGTGGTTCCATCTGCTTCTTCTGTCTCGGCTACATAGTTTCCTGGTTTGAGAGGATGACAGGGTTTCTCACCATGGAAGACCTGGCCTCAGATGCGTCTCTGATCAGTGCAACAGAAGACTTCCTGGACACTGCCGTGGTAAGGCTCTGGGGGGACTTCACTGCGCATGCCCCCTTGGAAGTGGACAGGAATAGCAAAGCTTCATCCAGGTCTCTCCCATGGGTACAGGGGCCCAAGCACCTGGGCCATCCTTTGCTACTTTCCCAGGCGCATTTGCAGGGAGCTGAAACAGAAGTGGAGCAGCCAGGACTCAGAACAGCTCCCATGTCAGAGGCCACTCTGTAGGTGGTGGGGGAGCATGCTACACTCAATGCTGGCCCCTCAAGGTTATTTTCAAAGTCTGAATTTCTGTAAGATGTGCGTTTCATTAGAAGACTTTATTACCAGAATATCATTTGAAGGCGTAATTGTGCAGCAACACACATGTCCGTGTTAAAAGCAAAGTGGCTTATTTACATCTGTACAAATAGCCACTGGCTTATTGTATTCAGGTGGCTGAGCGTCACATAAGCTTTCTCTGAACTTTAAAGGCACCCTCTGCCTATGAGACGCTATTGACATGAACGTTATAGTTTAGAATGCTGCTTTAGAATAATAGCTGAAACCTTTCTTTTTATTAGGTTATTTCCAGATGCAGTAGAAAAGGTAAGTCTATTATTGGCTACCAATTTGAATTAATATTACAATACAGAGACTATTTAAAGTGGGGTTAAATATATTTGAATTTATTGAGAAAGCATATTATAGTGCTGAAATACATTTGGTTGTGAAAACCTGTTTATTTGCCTGGTTGTGTGTTTAGTTGCTGCTGTCGCTATATGGCTGCTGAGCTTTATTCAGCTCATGAAAAACCAGTTCGGTCATTGCACACCAGCAGCATGGTCAGTGCTGTGCTTCCCACTGAGGCAGCACTGGGGGCTGGTAGGTCCTGAGAGGGTGGATTGGGAAGTTTGGCTGTCTCAGCTCTCCTGTTCTGGGTAATCTCTTTGGCATGTGCAGATGGCATGTGGCCACTGAAGTGCCATCTGCCACAAGGCCCTCCTCATGCTACCACAGACAGTTACTCATACCTAGAAGCAGACCAAGAGGAAAACCAGGCCAGTGTAGCTATTGCTGACTTGACTTGCATTTGCTGTTGGGAGCTTTGGCTGCCCAGCCCTAAAGATGGCGCCTTGGCTGTGTGCCAGGGTCAGGAGGAGGAGCCTAGCAGAACCAGGAACTTCATCCTGATTGGTCCCTAGCGCATGCTCACCGCGTGCGTGGCACGTGATCTGCATTATGATTGGTGCGCTCTGCGCATGCTGGATTGACCTTTACGCTGATTGGGTCGCGAAGTGTGTATATATTGTGAAGCTTGTGCGGATTAGGGGAAGAAGAATAAAAGACACGGAAAAGGACATGTCCTGTGGAGAGTCTTTCTCTGCGGGTCAGGGAGCTCTCCACGTTTGCTTTAGCTGCTTTTCTCCTGTAAGAGTGTAAAGGTAAGGATTCTAGAAAACGGGACTGGGGACTAGGTGGTTGATTTTTTTTTTTTCCAACGTGGCTCACAGAAAAGACAATTTTGATATTTTTGGTTATTATGAACTCCAAGGTATATTTGAAACATTGGACCATTTCAGAAACTGGGGACCTCTTGTAACAGATACATTCTTTTTGTGGGAAACATGTTTTTGATTTTCCTGTTGAAGAGTGGTTAGTGGCGATATCTGATCACGGGAAGTGTCAGGCTTGATACACAGCTGCGCCGTGTTCGTCAGAGGTCTTCACCAACTGTCAGTGGACTCCACGTATCTTCAAGTTAATTTTTTTGTGAGTTTCATAAATGATCATTGTGGTCTTTAAAAATTGGCAGAAAAAGTATTTCCCATTGTGTATTTGGACATTTGTAGCCCCAATATTCATGTAAGAGACTTGGAGTGAGTGGACAGTTGGAGAATGAACCAACCGATGAGGGCAGTTTCACATTGTTGCTATCTGCTTCTCTGTCAGACGAAGCCCTTGTACAATCTTAATGTTTATTGTAATACACAAATGTAAGAAGCATACGGAAATAACAGGAAATTGTGGAGCCAGTGTGGTGGCTCAATGTGCTAACCCCTCACTTGAAAGCACCAAAATCCCACACGGGCACTGTCCCCACTGCTCCATTTTCCATTTAGTTCCCTAGTTATAGCCTGGAAAAGCAGCAGATGATGGCCCAAAGCCTTAGTACCCTGCACCTACCTGGAAGAAGCTCTTAGCATCATATTGGATTAGCTCAGGCTCTTGTGGCCTTTTGGAAGGTAAACCAGTAGATGGAGAGACAGAGTGAAAGATCTTCCTTCTCTCTGTAAATCTGCCTTTCCAATGGAAAAAATATATACGTATATATTTAAAAGCCAGAAGCTAGGAGTTTCTTCTGGGTCTTCCATGTGGGTACAGAGTCCCAAGGCTTGGAGCCATTCTCCACTGCTTTTCCTGGCCACAAGCAGGGAGCTAATTGGGAAGTGGAATAGCCAGCACATGAGCCAATGCCTATGTGGGATGCTGGCAATTGGAGGTAGAGGATTAGCCAGTTGAGTCATTGCACTGGCCACAAAATAAATAAGTCTTTTGGAAAAACAAAAGGAAACTGGGGAGAATAAAGATGGCGGGATAGGGCAAGGACATGTTTAAACAGAAACATTGGCCAGTGTGAAGCAGAGAGGACACATTCCAGGAAATAGCAGAAGACAGAATGACAGCAGAGGAGCACCTGGAGACTAACAGGCGCAGTAGCATATACAACAGTGTGGTGTTGCAGTGACTGATACCCCAGCAGCACTCAGCCAGCGGTGGTCTGAACTACACTGGCTGCTGGAACTCCATCAACAACAAGGTGGGAAGGGGCGTTTCCCCAGAGCTCAGGAGGTGAACCCAAAGAACTGCCTGTCTGCTGCTCTGTTTGATTTGACCAGGAGCAGAGACAGAGCAGCAGGTCCCAGACTTGCAGTGCGAGAACAGGGTGGACTTCAGGGCCTAGTCTGCCCCCTAAAGCCAAATCAGGCACCATTTCATATAGGAAGGCAAAGGCTGTGATTGGACAGCACTGTGCATGCACTGAGCTGGGATGAACTCATTCTGGCTCAGTGAACTGCAACAACGTGGCATCCTACAGGTTCCACCCAAGACAGGTCTGTTAGAACTAAGTCCTGACTGTCAGCAGATCAAGAACTCTAGTAGTGGCACATCAGGCACAAATCTGAAGTGTGGAAAAACTTTATGACTGCAGTGACAACAGTGAGCTGTGCATGTGCTGAGCTAGGCGAGAACTGGAACAGTGCTGAGCAGCTGGAACTCCCTGAGCAACAAGTGCGAAGGGATGTTTATTGGGAGCTTGGGAGGTGAACCCAAAGAACTGCTCATCCTGCTGGTCTGTTTGATTTGATCAGGAGCAGAGACAGAGCAGCAGATCCCAGAAGGGCCGTGTGGGAACAAGGTGGATTTCACAGCCCAGTCAGCCCCATGGAGCTGTTTCAGGCACCATTTTGTGTAAGGAGGCAAGGGCTATGGGGCAGGACTGCGCATACATGGAGCTGGGCGTGAACTCATTTCTGGCTCAGTGAACTGAAACAACACGGCATCCTACAGGTTCCACCCAGGATAGGTCCGGGAAGCCGTCAGACCTGACGGCCAGCAGATCAAACACTCTAGCAGTGGCACATCAGGTGTCATTTTGTACAGTGGGGAAAAGAATGTAAGACTGTAGGGACAACAGTGAACTGCACATGTGCTGAGCTCGGGGAGAACTCACTGAGCTCAGTGCATTGCATGGGTCCCACAGGAAAATAATACTGACTATGGCATCATACGGGTCAAAACAGGTCTGTGTGGCCCTCAGACCTAATGGCCAACAGGTTCTGGCAAGATTAGCACAACTATCAATGTAGCTATATAGGACACCTGGTGCCTCCCTAATCCTGGGACCTGCTCCAACTGGAAGTGAGAGAAAGGTTGTACAGACAAAGGTGCAGCCTCAGCATGGTTTCACAGGAGGTGGAGAGTGGTGAGCCAGGAGCTGGGGCAATGGAGACCATGGTAGATGTCTTAACATAAGAACCCAGACCTGGAACTTGCTGGAAAAAGTGGCACAAGTGACTGTAAAGAGCGATGTGTGCCAACCACAATAAGTAAAATCAAACTGTAGACCTGTGGATGACAGCGTAGAAACCTGCCCCAAGGAGACAGAAGTACAATGACCGAGAGCAAAAGAGGAGCCACAGTCACAATGAATGTTACTGAAGACTTTCCTGCAAAGGAGCAAAAGCCTTAGCCAATCTCAGAGTTCACTGAGGAAGACATCGAGAAAATGGGGAATACAAAATTCAAAACATTTGTTACAAAGCTTAACAACAAGAAACATGTAATACTTTAATAGTTTAAGGAATTTAAGGAATATGTCACACACTGGAAATGAATCAAATGAAAGCTGATATCAGAAACGAAAAATACAGTGGAGCGAATTAAAAGTACAGTGGAGAGTCTCCAAAATAGAATGAAGGAGGCAGAAGAAAAAATCTCAAAATTAGAAGGTTTTTCCTGTCATTAGGGGGAAGCAAGCAAAAAGCTGGAAGCAGAGCTGGGTCAAGCTAAGAAAATATTTAAGAACTGAAAGACACTATTAAAACGTCAAATATAAGAGTTATGGGAGTCCCAGAGAATCTAGGTTTAAAAATGCATTTAATGAAATAATAAGGGAAAATTTCCCTAATCTAGAGAAAGAATTGGGAAACAACATCCAGGAGGGGCACAGAACTCCCAACAGGCTTGACCAAAAGTGATCTTCACCTTGACACATTATAATCAAGCTCTCTTCAAGCAAACATAAGGAAAAGACCCTGAAATGTGCACATGAAAAATTTAATTGACATATAAAGGAAGGCCAATTAAACTCACAGGAGATCTCTCACAGGAAACTCTGCAGGCCAGAAAAGAATGGAGTGACATATTCCAGACTTTAAAAGAAAAAAAATGATCAACTCAGGATAACGTACCCAACAAAACTTTCCGTTGTCTTTGAAAATGAAATACAGTTCTTCCAGAGCAAAGAAAAGTAAAAAGAATTTGCCTCTTCCAAACCTGCCCTACAAAGGACACTTCAAGATGTTCTCTTGACAGAGAAGAGGAATAGCACCCATGAAAACCAAAGGCAAATGTGAAGAACATCCCAGTAAAATAACAGAAGACTAAATCAGTGAATAGCCCATTGCTAAAATGATAGGACCAAATTACCATCCATTCATATTAACCCTGAATGTAAACAGCTTAAACTCATGAATCAAACATCATAGATTAGTAGACTGGATTAAAAAGCAAAACCCATGTATTTGTTGCCTATGTAATACACATTTCACCAACAAAGATTAGTGGAAACTATATCTCATGAATTTTGATTTTTTTTTTTACTTCCATCTCTTCAAAACATTTTTTCCCCTCATTAAATTCTTCACTGACTCATAGATCATACGATAGCATCATTTTCTTAAAGAATATTCTTGATTTTCTTTTTCATTTCTTCAGCAACACATTAGTCATTCAGTAGCATGTTATTTAACTTCATGGCATTGTAAATTTCTATTTTTCTTGCTGTTGATATTGTAGCTTTTCATTTAAGCAGATGTATAGTAACTGTAATGGAGACTGTCATACCCAGATGTGAGGATACAGTGCAGTGTGCATCTCTACTTCCAGACAAAGATGGAATCCCAATGAGGCTGTCAACTATATCTTGACAATAGGAAGCTGCACTCTCTGCTATTGTCCATGCCCACAATGATGGACATATGACTGTTTATGAGGAACTATGCTGTAGTAATAACATAGGGAACTTGTGGGAGGAAGGAATTTGGGGAGGGAGTAAGGGAAATCCCAGGGCCTATGGAACTGTATCAGAAAATGATGATGATAATAATAATAATGATGAAACTGTACAAGGAGCTGCACATTCTTAGTTGGTGCAGAAATCAGTTTTGCTTTAGGTATGATCACAGGAAAGAGTCATATTGCTCATTCCGTTTTCCTTTGTGGATTTCTGCATGATTCATACACATGTGGCCCGGAACTTTTAAATTTGAGTGGTAGAGTTACGCCAGACGGGAGAGAGAGCAATTGATTTTCCATGTCCAGAAATGACTACAACAGCTATGTTTGGGCCAGGCTAAAGCCGGAAGTCTGGGATTTCTTCCTGCTCCCCACACGGGTAGCAGGGTCTCAAGTACTTGGGCCATCCTCTGTTGTCTTCCAAGGTATGTTAGCAGGGAGCTGGATCAGAGGCAAAACAGGACTAGAACTGGCAAGCTGTTATGAATGCTCGTATCACAAGGGACTATGTAACTCACTGTGCCAGTGCTCACCCAAGAGGTTTGTTTATTTGAAAGGCAGAGTGACACCTCTTCCATCTGCTGGTTCGCTCTCCATGGTCTCAGCTGCTGGGGCTGTTAGCATGGAGCTGGATTGGGAGCAGAGTGGCTGGACTCCAACAGGCATCCCAATATGGACCTGAGGTGCCGGGACTTAATTCCTGTACCACAACACCTGCTGGTGGTGTGTGTAACATAAACTTGATCTTGTCTCATGGCCAGACCACATCATTCCATGGCTTTTACAGATATGCCCTTCCGTGTCATTTGGGAGTCATTTCCTTTGTCTTTGTTGGCTTCTTATTTTTCCCCTGCCATTCTTTCCACTGTATCTGTTCTGCTGTTTTGTACTGAGGCTGCACCTGCAGAGTTTGCTGTGGCGTTTCCTGCTTCTCTGTAAGCTGCTGCTGCGTGTGCCGGCTCTGCTGCCGCCATCCTCCTGTTGTTTGTGCTGCGGCTTCTCTTCCTGCTCCTGCTGCAGCTGCTGTGGTGTGCTGTTTCTGTTATTGCTGCTGCCTCACCTGCTTTGGTCTCTGCTGCTTTCCTGGTGCCTCTTCTTCTCCGTGGAGGGCAACAGGAAGGAGTTGAGACCAAGTGCTGTAGGACACCATTAGCTCCCCTAATTCTTTTTGGCACACATTTGATTTTTGTCAAATATGCTTTCAGGGAAATTGCAAATGTTGGATTCCTTCATCCTCAGTTTAGGATTCCTGGTGACAGAAACGAGGATCAGCCATTCGCTTCAGCAGGAGGTGAGTTGCAAATAAGAAACTGGATAACAAGTGCTCCAGCAGGCTTCCAAGAAACTTACGCATGGGTCTCTGTTTTCTTTCTTTCCTGTGAATGCCTTCCCCAATTCTGAGAAGGCCGTGAGGACTTTGAACTTCATTTTGCAAGCTGTACCTCGGGAAGAGAGAAAAAGCCTCCCCTTATCAGAAAGCATATGTCATCTTATGTAAGTGGCCTTAGCCTCGAGTACGTGGTGTTGTTGAGAGTAGATCTCTGATGGTGGTGCTAGTTTAGCCTTTCTCCTCACGGAGGGGTGCAGTCATTCATGGCTTCAGCGAAGGCTTTGTGCACCTGCCATGTGTGCCGGATAACGTGGGAGGACCGAGGAAGGGGCAGACTGGCTGTGTTCTTGTTTTTGTATGGGTTGTTTGGATTGGTCTTAAAAGGCAAAGGTGAAATGCTTTATTAGACCATCCATTATTTTTTTCCTGTTGTGTGTGTGAGCTCATTCAGTGCCTGGGAAGAATGCTGACAGTGCAAGTCTGGGGTCGGACTACTTGCCTTCCAATCCTCCCTTGGCCACTTCCGTGGGTGGAGTGCAGCGTGAACATTGTCTTTCAAGCTGCTTACTGTAGACTGGGGCTGGCAGTAACTTCTCAGCGAAGTTCTTGTAAAGGTCAAGTGAGACGGTCTTGCAGTGGCCAGCATGATGCTTTGCGGAGAGCACGGACTCAGGTTACCAGCTGTTCACCACACCAACAGGCCGTGGAGTTTGCATTGCTGTGCAAGTGGTGGAATTTTGGGTGACCTGGTTATGCCTGCATAGTCATTGCAGCGAGAAATTTGGAAGGAAGGATGTCATGCGTGACTGCAGAAAGAGCAAATTTAGCACAACATTTTGAAATGTGATTTTAAATGGCTGACAGTGGTAGTCCAACATTCATTGGCTGGGCTGCTGTTACTGGTGAGTTTTCCATAGTGTAACGGTGGTGACCAATGATCATCAATGCATTGATATCCTGTTTGATCATATGACTCATTATTTCTATACTGGACTTCTCCTAAAAAACTCAACAAGCAAACAAAAACACCTTTTTTTTTTCATTTGAGACAGTGAAATCACTATCTTTAATGTGTTTAGAGTTAATATTGATGTACTGAGATTTAATGTATTGAGATTGGAAGAGAGGCTGATCCGATGTTTTCTCCTCAATTTTCAAATCACCATCCTATGGTCATGCTGCCTTCTTATCTGTGTGTTCAGGAAAGTCTGGAATGTTCTGGACTTTCAGGCATAAGTGAGATCTGCAAGTGTAAAATGTAGTGGTGCTGTTTTAAGGCTGTTTGTTGAGTAGCAACAGATCAATCCACTTATGAGAGTGGGCAATCACAAGATTTTATAATAAATCTCTTCTTTAAAATGGGAGTTACTGTAGACATGGAAGAAAGATTAGTGTCATATTTATTAAACTTTACTTGAAACTCTTGATTATATACAGGTACTGTAAAAGCGTGTGGAAAAGCATTTAAAAATAGAATGTGTTTTGTTGTGAAAATCTGGAAATTCGATGCATGAATTTTCTTAGAGATTAATTTGCTTATTGGAGAGAGTTACATAGAAAGAAAGAAACACACACACACACACACACACACACACACACACACACCCCTCTTCCTTCCACTGATTTCTCTTCCCACATGGCCACAACAGCTCGGGCTGGGCCAGGCTGAAGCCAAGAACCAGAAGCTTCTTCCAGATCTCCCACATACATAGCAGGGGCCCAGGCATTTGAGTCATCTTCTGCTACTTTCCCCAGACGATCAGTAGGGAGCTGGAGGTGAAGTGGAGCAACTGAGACATGAACGGGTACCCATATGGATGCTACACTGCTGGCAACGGTCTTCACCCACAGTACCACAGCACCGTTTTCACAGATTTTCGTAACAGGCACTTTTTTGCAAACTTTAAAAAAAAATTTTTTTTTTGACAGATTAATCAGTGCTCCATCTGCTGGTTTACTTCTCAAAGTTTGCAATGACCAGGGCTGGAATTTTGCTTTCCTGCTGTGTCACAATGCCAGCCCCGCTTCTGGTGAACTTTTTAAGCAACTTCCCATATGCAAGGATGTCTTTTAGCAGCAAAGTAAACCTATCCTTTAATTCTGTTTTCCACCAACTTTTAGGAGTAACCTCATTCAGTGAGAGACTGTGTCCGCTACAGTTTTAATGTTACAGTCAGTGAGGGATGCTAAATTTGAAGTCATTTCAAATATACAGATTGATTTTAAAAACATTGTCAGCATAATACACTTGCTGTACCTGTCAGTAAATGTGCTTTATTTAAATGTTTCAGGAAAGACTTTGCAAGGACCATCATGACCGTGGGTGGTAAGAATGTAAATATTTACTATATTAAACATTGGGCCCTGGAAGGGATTTTCTAAGCATTTGGGACCCAGGCAGAGGGAAGGATAAATCATGGTCAAACTCTGGAAAGAGGTATTAAGATTTGATTTTTAATTTATTTTGAGATGTACAGACTGAACACTAGAAAGAATAGGAATTGCATATTTATTCACCATGCAACTTTGTTAAATTTTAGTATGTTGGCACATTTACCGTAAATACTCTTTTTGAAAACCAATGGAGTCAGAATGCAGAAGAATGTCCTGCGTCCTTGTTCCCAGTCCTTTTCGTTCCTCCTCGACTCACAGTTTCCATAGTTTCTAAGTTTCCTATTTTCATAAGCGCTGAACATTTTAGTTTCTAAATATAAATTTTAAAAATTAGTTAAAAACATAATTTTAAAAAATGCTTGAGAGACAGAGCTCCCATCCACTAGTTTAGTCCTCAAGTGCCCACCTCTGCCAGAGCTGGGAAACAGAAACCCAGTCCGGGTCTCCATGCGTAGTGGGGGACTGGTTCGGGTCTGCTGTGTGCATGGTGGGGACCTGGTTCGGGTCTCCTGTGTGCATGGTGGGGACCTGGTTCGGGTCTCCTGTGTGCGTGGCGGGGACCTGGTTCGGGTCTCCTGTGTGCGTGGCGGGGACCCGGTCCCTTGAACCGTCACCTCCTGCCTCCCAGGGTTGCGTTAGTAGGAAGTTGGAACGGAAGCAGAGTTGGAATACAAACATAGACATTACAAATCAGATATGGGTATCCCAATGGTGACTTAACCAGGCCAGATGCCTTGGCCCTTAATGTATATAAGTACTGTCCTATGGAAAGTATTTTGCTCTATGTAGTTTTAGAGTTCGTTGTGTCGTAAGTTAGCTTAGAATTTTATTTTTAAAACAAATATTTTTATGGATATTTTGATGAACTTCCTTTGAATTAAAAAATTTATTATTTTTTAATTTAAAAGGCAGATTTTGCACCTGGCACCATGGCCTAGTGGGTAAAGTCCTCGCCTTGAGCGCACCAGGATCCCATATGTACACCGGTTCTAATACCAGCAGCCCTGCTTCCCATCCAGCTCCCTGCTTGTGACCTGGGAAAGCAATCAAGGACATTTTCTTCTGGAGACCCAGAAGAAGTTCCTGGCTCCTGGCTTCAGATTGGCACAGCACCCGCCATTGCTGTCACTTGGGGAGTGAATCATTGGACGGAAGATCCTCTCTGTCTCTCTTCCTCTATTTATCTGACTTTGCAAATAAATAAATAAATAAATAAAGGCAGATTTTCATAGAGAGAAGGAAAGATAGATCTTCCATCCTCTTGTTGCAACAGCTGGAGCTGAGCTGATCTTGAGTCAGGAGCCAGGAAGGACTTCCAGGTCTCCCACATGGGTGCAGGGTCCCAAGGATTGGGCCATCCTTCACTGCTTTCCCAGGCCGTAAACAGGAAGCTGGATGGGAAGTGGAACAGCCAGGAAATGAATCAGTGCCCATGTGGGATGCCAGTGGCAGCAGGCAGAGGATTAACCAGTGTTGCCATTGTGCCAGCCCTTTCCTTGAAAATTTTAAACGTATCTAAAATAAGCCCATAAATATTCATTTATATGTTGTTGACATCTTTTAGATTTCTCTCCCAGGATTTATCAGTTGCAGGGGGACTTGTCAGAGCAAGCCCCGCCTCTGGGACTGCTTTCTGGTGTCTTTTGTCCAGAGTGACCCGCGTCCGCTGTATGTTCATTTCCAGATTACGACCAGCAGGTGGCAGCTTCCGAAACCTTGTGTAGGTTAACAACCAGAACCACAAGGGAGGAGCTTGCCAAGCAGTGGTTTGAGGATAACGCCATTGCAGAAGCTTTCAAAGACATTAAGGATCGAGAATTCGAGACGGTGAGAGTTCTGCCCTAAGAGGAAACAGTTGCGGAGTCTCCCCTCAGTTCCTGGCAATGAGTTGGGCTTAGGGAGGGATTTTTTTTTCTTCCGTTTATACGATTTCACTTGAAATTGTTAAACTCCATGTTTTCCAAGGAAAGGGATCCATCAGTACAAACAGGGATGGTACAGACTACAGACAAGTGAATTTCATGGATCAAGCAAAGAAAGTTTTGTTTTGAATGAGGAGAGCAATTGTAAATGGACATGCAGGACCCAGTGCGGTAACCTAGTAGTTAAATCCTTGCCTTGCATGCCCTGGGGTCCCATATAGGCGCCAGTTCATGTCCCAGCTACTCCACTTCCCATCCAGCTTCCTGCTTGTGGCCTGGGAAAGCAGTGGAGGACGGCCCAAAGCCTTGGGACCCTCCACTAATGTGGGAAACCTGGCGGAAACTCCTAGCTCTTGGCTTTTGATTGACTCAGCTCCGGCCATTGGGGCCACTTGGTGGGTGAATCACTGGATGGAAGATCTTTCTGTAGCTTCTCTCTGTATATCTACCCTTCCAATTAAAATAAATAAATAAATAAAAATAGTAAATGGACTTGCAGGGGGATGGGGAGCTGGAGAAGTAGTGACAGGTTCCCATGGGTGGGGCTAGCTCTGGTGCCTAAGTCATGTGGGGTGGTGGTTGTTGAGCTGTCCACCCACCATCTGTATGTAGAGGAAGCGTTATTTTCAGAGTCTTCCCTATACTTCTGGCTCACCTTGATTTTGCCTTTGAGTGGCACAGAAGTAGCTTATGGCTTTTGTGTGTATCTGTCTTCAGTCTCACATGGCTAAAACATATCCTCTCCTCTTAAACAAACAAAAAACAATAACTCGCAAAGCTGCTGCTTTTAGTATAAGGCAAAACCTTAGTAACAGCACCTAGGCTACAAGCATCCTTCTGGGCAAAAGCTACGCAACCAGAGTTTTCTCTTTTAAGATTTATTTATTTTTAATGGAAATGCTCGTCAGAGTTAACGGAGGAGTGGAGAGACAGAAAGATCTTCCATCTGATGGCTCAGTCCCCAGGTGGCCACAATGGCTGGAGTTGAGCCGATCCGAAGTCAGAAGCCAGGAGCTTCTTCCGGGTCTCCAGTGTGGATGCAGGTCCCAAGGTTTCGGGTCATCCTCCACTGCTTTTCAGGCCACAGGCAGAGAGCTGGATGGGAGGAAAGTGGAATATGTGGCTCATGAACCAGCGCTCCTATCGGATCCCTGTGCTCAGAAGGTCAAGTTTTAGCCCCTGAGCCATCACTCTGGGCCTCGGGATTTTCTAACGTCTAAATGTTTTTATTTTCTCAGGCTCTGAGCCCATTGCCAGGATCCCCTGTGGTCTAGGTGGAGATGTTGACGTCACATCAGGGCAATCCCAAGCTTGCCTTTGAGTTCCAGCTACCCGATTTAGAGAAATAGAAAGCTCCTGCGCTCCCGTGGGCTTCTGGCATGAATTTCTTCTGTTTCACTGGCACGTTTGCTGTGAAAGTGAAGAAAATACGGGATCCGTTAATTATGTAGCTTCCGAAATTGTCTCCCCTGGAGCCACCCAGCTCTTAGTTGGGCTACTCATCCTTGAAAGGCTCGCCCTGTTGGTATGCGGCAGGAAGTGGTGATTCTCTTCTTGCTGCTTCTGGCTCCGTGAAATACAAATGTGCAAATAGCTTCTGGAACTCCCGAGTATTGCTCAGCCGTCACCCTCACAGTCAGGGGAAGGGAGTCTGTGGAGAAAGAGCCTGAGCCTCTTTCTCGTGGCAAAGTTAACATAATCCCAAACCCTTATGCAGCGCCATGATGTTACCCAATGTAGTTGGGCAGGAGCCCATACTGATCTGTATGTGCTCGTCAGGGTAGTATTAAATAAGACATTTGTTTTTTTAAAAAATGAAAGCCTTTGACTTGTTTTGTAGGATATTCGTTGTTTTCTCAATCTCCTAAATGACAGACTTGGTGACCAAAAGAGGTAAGACAGCTTCTTGAGCATGGTTCGCCTGCTTCTTGGGGTCCTGACGATGACTGCTGTGCTTAAAGCTTGTCTGGGATCTGTTTCACAGAGCTGGCATTTGAGCACCACGGAGCTGTCCACTGAGTAGGTTCATTTGAGTGTCTTTGAAAATGAGCTCTGTTAGCCTTTAGCACACTTGTTTGATCTGGAACATTTCTGATACAGAATTCTGCAGCAAGTCCGTAGATTTTTAAGAGGAGTGGTTGTTACACACATGAGGTCATCAGAGATAAGCGTGTTATAAACAGTTGAGTTTCTGGTATGAAAATATTTGCTAGCTTCTTTCTTTGGGAATTCTGCCAAGTGCATTGGTTGAGATACAGAGCATCACAAAATGTGATCCAGAGGCTGCCAGGTGGACATTTAAAAACTGTAGATGCATCCCATGTGTACATTTCAACCCCCCACACTGTACCAAGAAACTCAACAGCGTATCCTAGTTATTAATGTTCTTCTGTGTGTGGCTTGTGGCTGGGATAATCCAAGTCTCGCGTTGTAACCGTGACGTTCTCTTTCAGGGTTTATTCATTTCCATGTATTGCCGCGTTCGCTGATGGACGTGAGGTAGGTTTGTCCTGCCTGGGGGTTGGGAGGGTGCTGGGTGGAGAAACCCAGTTACGTTCAATTTTGCTGTCATTCTCAAGAGCCTTTTTGAAAAGAATACTAACATCTCCAAGTAGCTTCAACTCTGAGACCATGCTTAAAGGCTCCATGGTTACTCCTGACAGAAAGGGGGATTTGTGGGGGAGAGCATAATGCACCCATGAAGCCAGCTGCTTGTTTCATTTTACCCTCCTCAAGGGAAAGATTATACCGGAAGCAAGAGGTGGTTCCCTTGCCTCTTCCAGTTGAGCTTTGCTCTTCTTTCTCCAACAACAGGGGCCACCCTCATTCCTTTCTCTCTGTCTTCGTAGAGTTCAGGCCTTGCAAGTGCAGACACCTGACAAAGGATGCACTTTTATCCTTCCTTTGTAAGATCAGATTCTTTTCACCCTCCTCTTTGGTTTCTGGACAAACACAAGGGTCCTTCCTGTCAGAATGCTCATGAACCCATCATCTCAGTGTCAGGGTGAGACCTGAGGTTTTGGTCCCTTGGCCCAGCCTTTGGGTGTTCGCATGCACCGTGTCCTTGATTTGGGTCCAGCGAGCCTTTCTGGGACCGTAGACCCAGACTTGCTGGCACATTCCTTCTCTCTAGAGCACATTCTTGGAGTCTCAGTCCTGCACCCAAAGTCTGTCTGTCTGTTATTTCCCCTCAGGTTACTGTGAGAATACTGCTCTTTGTGGATTTTCTTTGCAATTTCCAACAGCTTCTATCAGGGCCCTTACACTTCACCTTCTCCTAGGGTCTAGAACATGTATGGTGGGTTAATACCTTCGTCTAACTCTGTGGCTATTAAAAACTAGGCTCCCATGGTGGCACCCATGTTCAGGAAGTACTGTCCGCTGGGAGAGTAGTGAGTCTGTAGTCTGTGTCCCATAGGTGGGCACAAAAGCTGTACGTTGTCAGCCCTCTCTGTCTGCAGGCTCGCAGCCACGGGTTCAGCCTACTGCGGATGGAATGTTAGATTGTTGCTGACATGTCCTATGTAGTTAGACCAATGGCGGTTGCATCTGGGTTGAGTGTGTACTGATTTTTGACTTATCATTGTTTTCTTAAAAATACCGTATTTCCTTAGTGTTTACATGATCATAGGAACTATAAGTAATCTAGAGATGGCTTAAAGTATGATAGAGGGTTATATAAAGATATAGAGGGTTATATAACTATATAGTTATATAGTTTATATATATTATATATATAGCTTATTTATTTTAAAGGTGCATCGAGAAAGGGAGAGACTGAGATAAATCTTCATCAGCAGATTCACTTCCCAGATGGTCGCAGTGGCCTCAGTGGCTAGAGTTGGGCAAGGCTGAAGTCAGGAGAGGAGAGAACTCTCCCATTTGGGTGGGTCACCCACTGCTACTTTCCCCGTGCCATTAGCAGGGAGCTGGGTCAGAAGTGGAGTAGCCGGGACAAACTGATGCCCATGGGGATGGCAGCATCACAGACGGCAGCTTTGCCCACCGTGCCGCAATGACAATTCCAATGCCGTTTTATTTAAGGAACTTCGGTGTCCGCAGATTCCAGTGTCTGAAGGGACATAGGAACCAATCCCTGCGGGCTACCGAAGGGCAGCTGTTAAACGCTTCTTGAGGTTTGTCTGGGGGGCAGTAGAGGCGCTGTGTTGGCGCTGCATATGGAGAAGTACCCGCGGGGCCTTGGGAGGCAGAGGAGATGTTGACTGTTTCCACATCCTCGTACCCTTGGAATCATCATGAGTACCAAGTGGTGGGCATGCAGGCAGCATGGCTCAGCTGAAGTCCCTGGGGCTCAGGAATGAGGTTGTAAAGATGGACGGGCACCTGATGTACTGAATACATCCACTCTTCGACAAAATCTGCAAAAAGCCAAATCCTACCTCAAGTGAAAAGAATTGCCAGACCAGCAGTACATCCTCTTCTAGGCGTGAAGTGATGTGCTGCAGGCTGCTGTCCACGTCTTCTTTTTCGAAAGGAAATTTCCTGTATTTGAAAGGCACGGAGAGGGAGACACCTGCTGTCTCCCTCCACTCCACACACACGCTTTCTGTGTCTCATCTGCTGATTCACCTCCCAAAGGGCCACAACAGCCAGGGCTGGGCTAGGCTGCAGTCGGGAGTCAGCAGTTCCATTCTGGTCTCCCGTGTAGCTAACAGGGGCCCAGGCCCAAGGCTTTTGTCTGCTTTCAACAGCAGGAAGCTGGATTGGAAGTGGAGCAATCAAGCACTCTGAATGGGATGCTGGGGTCCCAACTAGTGATTTAACTTACTCTGCCACAAGTTTTTCCAGGTGCAAGAGAGACTCCAGGATGGGGTCCTAGGGACCCCATTTGTTATCACCTTCATGGCAAGACCCAAAAGCACCAGTAAACTGCCACTTGTCATTGTGGGTGCCTGAGGCAGGGCCCTGGAACTCATGGAGGAGACATGGAGACACTCAGTTGACAAAGAATCCACAGCAGAAAGAGGAGCAAAAGCCATCAGCTGCTGTGACTCCAAAGGGAATATCTACCTGGCCAGAGAGACACCCCGTAGGGGAGAGGGCAACTAGGAGAGCCCCTGAGAGCCCCAGCAGTCCTAGCCAGAGGAGGGATCTGCAGTCACACATGCCAAGTCCTGCCAGCAGAGCCACATGGGAGCTCTGCCCTAGAGAAGGAACTGCGTCTCCCTCTGCTCTCGAGACACAGTTTCGTATTATCTTATAGAAGGACATCACTAACGGAGTTCTTGGCACTCTAGGAGGGTAAAGGCCCTGGCAAATCCTTGAGCCTGGGCTGCACAGACCTCCCAGCAAAATAGCATAAAGGACTGTAACCTCCAAAATGCAGCCAGATCCAGTAGCGCAAACGGTGATCCCCTAGACTCCAGCTCACAAAGTGTGCTATGCTACCAGGGACATGTATCTGAGAACAACAGGGGGATGAACTCCCAAGACCTTCAAGGTAAGACCACCTGCCCAAGCAGAATTGGGGGTCCATTCCACCTGCACACACTCCTTCCCCCTGCGGTGGCACATGGCACTGTGTGGAAGTCTGCTTCCCTATTGAACTTGGGCCACGCACTGCTGTGACTGTTCTCCACCCTCCAGTGCTTTGATTGGTACAAGGAGCCATACAGTCCTTGAGGACTTTTGGCTAACCCTCCTGCAACCCCAGGCCACCACTGGGGCCTACCCACACGCTGGAACTGATGTGAGTACCCCATGGCCCCGTAGCTGTTGATGACAGTGGAAGGAGTTAGGGGAATCCATACCTCAGCATCCAGCTGGAACTGAAAAATCAATCAACTGGTACCCAAGGATGCATCTGCAAGAAACAGATACCTTTTAGTAATCAAAGAGATAGAGAAACAAGAAGGCAGAATAGGGTAAGGACATGTTTAAACAGATGGAGGATCAGTAGCCAGGGTAAAGAAGATAGGCCACAATCCTGGATAATAAGAGAGGCCAATGGCAGAGAGACACCTGGAGACCTGTGGACATGGGGAAGCAGCAGAGACAATGGAGCAGTGGTCGGCACCAGCAATTGGAGCTCCACTGGTGGCCAGTCGGAAGGCAAGTTCACCAGAAACTCAAGAGGAGAACTCAGGCATTGAACTGCCCATCCTGCTGCTTTGCTTGATCTGACCACAAGCAGAAGCAGAGTGGCAGAACCCAGGCAAGAAGGTACAGGAACAGGGTGGATTTCATGGCTCAGACACCAGAGCCACATGGAGTGTGATTTTGTGTTCTGAGGAAAGGGCTGTGGAACTGGAGGAACAACAGCTGTGCACTTGCTGAGCCAAGACTGAACACATCACACTGGTCCCACAGGGAAATGGTACCAACTTGGCATCTTACAGGTTCTACTCAAAATAAGTCAAAAGAAACATCTCACTAACAAAGGCAGAAACAAAGTGAAAGAAAAAGATACTCCAGGCTAATAGAAAAATGAGTTGATGTAGCAATTTTTCTTTTTCTTGATTTTTTTTAAAGATTTATTTTCATTAGAAAGGCATATTTACAGAGAGGAGGAGAAACAGAGAAAGATCTTCCATCTGCTGATTCACTCCCCAAGTGGCCGCAATGGTCAGAGCTGTGAATATCTGAAGACAGGAGCCAGGAGCTTCTTCCCGGTTTCTCAAGCAGGTGCAGGGTCCCCAGGCTTTGGGCCATCCTCAACTACTTTCTAAGGCCACAAGCAGGGAACTGGATGAGAAATGGGGCCGCCTGGATATGAACCAGTGCCATTATGGGATCCCAGTGTGTGCAAGGCAAGGACAATAGATACTAGACTACCAAGCCAGGCCCTGGTGTAGGCATTCTTATAATAGATAATATAAACTTTGACATGAAAAAAATAAAGAGATGAAAAAGGACACCACATAGTGATCAAAAATTCTGTTTTCATCAAGAAGAGATCACCTTACTTGTTGCTTAGCATGTTTTTATTTTCAGCTCTAATTTTATTTGGTTTCTCTCTCTTTCCTTTGCTAGTCTGGCTTAGAATTTGTTTTGATCATCTTCTTAAAAAGTTGCTATTTGTAGCTTTTAGTTTCAATTCCATTATTTTTGCTGTGATTATCATTTTCTCATTTATTAAGTCCCTGAGATGCATTTATTTGAGATACTTTTGTTTTTTGTAAGCACCTGATGTTATATGTATCTTAGTACTGTTTTTGCTGCATCTCCTGGGTTTTGATTTTTTTGTTTTCATTTCTTCAAGTTTTTTTTTTCCTTAGTAAATTCCTCAGTGACACATAGGTCATACAGTAGCGTTATTTTCTTCAAGAAGGTTTTTGCTTTTTGTTTCTTCAGTGACACATTGGACATTCAGTAGCATGTTATTTAACTCCATGTTGTAAATTTTCTATTTTTTTTTCCCTATTGATTTTGTTTTACAACTTTTCATTTAAGGAGATGTATAGTAATTGTGTAATGGAGACTATGGTATGTAGATGTGAAGATGCAATGTGCATTTCTACTTCCAAATCAATCTTAGATGAACTTCCATTGAAACTGTTACGTATATATATATCATATATATTGCATATATATATATGCATTTGGATGCTGGACTCTTTGTCATTGCCCATACCTACAATGTTAGGATATGCTTAAATAGTGGAATGATGGACTTATGACTGTTTATGAAGGACTATACTATTGTAACAATATAGGGGAAATCAGTGGGGCCAAGAGGTTTTAAGGAGAGGGAACAGGAAGTTTCAGAGCCTATGGAACTGCATCATAAAATAATCATTAAAAATATGAAAAAAGCCAAAGGGACAATGGATCCATCAGATATGCAAGCATCAACAGAGGTGAAGGAAGTGTGATAAGAGAAAGAAAAGGAGATTGAGTAAGTAAATACTTGATTCAAAACTTTCAGGAGAGTGACTTTAAGGCTAGTCAGAGGTTCAAGAGCTACAGCTAGTTCACTGAAATGAGGCAGACAATGCAGGATATGAATGAGATTTCACAAAGACATGTTTGAAAAGACCCCAGACTGAAATCTTGGAACTAGAGATCTCAATCAAGTAATGAAAGCCTAAACAACAGACGGGATCAAGCAGAGGAAGAATGCCAAAGGTTAGAGATATGTCTTACTGCAGACAAAATGACTGTAATAAGACAAAACTGCGATTAAGAACTGATTTAGTAGTAGTATTTGAGAAAGGCTAAAACATGTAAAACAACTGCCACAGTTGCTTCATCATTCTTCCTAATCAGCAGACAGGAAAACATGGCAGAATCCTACAAGGTTGTGTTTTGGTGGGAAAATTACGTTTGGCAATAGCCTCGTTTGGTAACCTTGTCCATCTGGACATGTTTGTTGTTTGGGAAAAGTAACGGGGGGTGGGAGAGAGCTGGTGGTGTGGTGCAGCATTAAGCCACTGACTATCCCTAAGCCTGCAGCACCGTCCTTGCGTGTCAGTGCTGGCTTGAGTTCTGGCTGCACTGATTCTGGTCCAGCTCCCTGCAGATGTGTCTGGGAAAGCAGCGGGAGGCAGCCTGCGTGTGTGGGCCCTTGCCATCCGTGTAGGAGGCTCAGAGGGAGTTCGAGGCTCTTGGCTTCTGCTTGCTTTCGCCCTGATCGTGGCAGTCATTTAACCAGCAGATGGAAAATCGTTCAAAGAAATAGAAATAAAGTCTTTAAAAAATTTATTTACATTTGTGTTTGAATCATTTCCTGGATTCGTACAGTATTTTTGTTTTAGTCTTTTTTTTTAACACTCTTGTAGTTACATGTATTTTCATAAATCAGGTACACGTTAAATTGACTTAATAATGTACCCCAGACTGTTTATAAAAGAATTTAAGGATTACAGCAATCTCAAGTTTTTTTTGTTTTTTTTTTGTTGTTGTTGTTTTGTACTTAGTGGAAAGTGTATCTTACTGATTTAGCTATCCTTTGGCCTTGGAACTTATAGTAAAGATATATTGAAAATAATGAAAAATATGAAATAGGTTCCTAATACTAGATAACCTTTGCTGTCAGTAAAACTATAATGATAACTATTGTGTTTATTCAGACAATAAATTAAGTAAATAAGTGTCTTATTATAGATAAAATGACAAGATGGAGTCTTTGGGCACATTTAAATGTCCGTGAGATATGTTAAGGTAGCAACTTTTCTTGGAACTAGGTGCAGAAAATGATTATCTTTGCATTTTGCATAAATGAGTCAAGCAATAAAGGCAAGTTGCATAATGTTAGGATAGTGTTATTTCAGGAAAAACTCAAGTTCTTTAATGGGTTAGGTTTTGCATGACCGTTTAATGTGGATATTCTGTTCAATTCATGCTAGAATTCTCTTCCAGATGAGAAAACCTGCAGATGAAAAATTAGAGAAATTTTGGATTGATTTCAACCTCGGAAGTCAGAGTGTGACGTTTTATATAAACAATGTGGAGGTAAATGATGTTTATTTCCCTGTGCGATCTGAATGCTTCTGGACTGTTCTCTGTATGTGTCACGTGCTTGTGAATTTCACAAATGTGTTTTCCTTCTAAGAGTACTCTGTGGGATCCAGTAAGATTGTTGAAGGAGGCAGTGGTTCACTTCTGCTTAACAGGTAAGACGATAATTGTCCTCCGTGCCACATCTGCTTGTGTTTGCATTTCCTGTGTGTAATTCCGTCAGTAAAAAGCTGGGTTCGTTCTAAAGGAGAGTGTGTGCGTGCCTTGAGACAGAGGCAAGGTGCATAGTACGATGGGGGATTATAGATGTGTGGACCAGCTTTTGGGGCTTCCCTTCTATTTCGTTGGTCTGTGTGTCAGTTGTGTGTCTTGAAGTATGGTATTGTGATGCCTCTGGGTTGGTTTTCATCGTTGAACATTTCTTTAATTGTTTGGGATCTTTTGTGTTTTCATATGAGTTTCTGGACTACCGTATTGTTCCAGATCTGAGAAGAATGGCCTTTGCATTTTTATTGGGATTGCAAATTGTCTTGGGTATTGTGAGCGTTGTGATGATATTCTGACAAATCCCTAAACATGAGGAGGATTTTTCCGTTTTTTTTTTTTTTTTTTTTTTTTAAAGATTTATTTTTATTGGAAAGGCAGATATACAGAGAGGAGAGACAGAGAGGAAGATCTTCCATCCGATGATTCACTCCCCAAGTGAGCGCAACGGGCCGATACTATGCCGATCCGAAGCCAGGAGCCTCTTCCGGGCCTCCCACGCGGGTGCAGGTTCCCAAAGCTTTGGGCTGTCCTCAACTGCTTTCCCAGGCCACATGCAGGGAGCTGGAAGGGAAGCGGGGCTGCCGGGATTAGAACCGGCGCCCATATGGGATCCCGGGCGTGCAAGGTGAGGACTTAACCACTTGCGCCACCGCGCCGGGCCCCCGTTTTTTTTTTGTATGTGTGTTTTTCTATTCCTTTCATTAACATTTAAAAATTTTTAAATTTGCAAGCAGAGACCGAGTGGCAGGTCCCAGATGGGCAATGTGGGAACAGGGTAGATTTCCACAGCCTGATCTGCCCCCTAGAGCCAAATCAGGTGCCATTTTGTATAGGGAGACAAAGGCTATGATAGGACAGCACTGCACATGGCTGGGTCTGGGAGTGAACTCATTTCTGCCTCAGTGAACTGCCTCCTGGCACCTTGTCATGGAACATGGCGATTCTAGCTGTGCCCTAGCCATGCCTACGCAGGTGTCACTAGCGGTGTGCAGGTGTCACTGGTGGTGTGCAGCCAGCAGCTACCTGTTCTTTCTGCTCACTGTGCCAAGGAGTCTGTTCAGTCTACTCTCCAGCAAGAATTTCTCTCAAGCAGTTCACCAGGACCACTATTCTTCCTTTGTTTTGTTGGTATCTAGTAGATTCTGCCTCTTTGTCTTCTATCTCCAAGTATTCATGTCAAATAAAAACTGTTGATAATTTGTTTAACCAGTTCCAGCCAAAATATCATATATATAAAAATGATTGAGCTGGTGTGCCCTTTCTGGTCCTGGTTAATCCCAGTCTGCTGTCTGAGTTACCCTTGCTGCATCCCCACCTGCGTTGGTTGTGTTTTGGTCTTCCACTGCTATGGACAGGGTCGATCTAGATCTGTATGGTGGTTCTGTTGGCTTCCTGTCCAGTTTCCTCAGTTTGTGGCAGCGCAGACTCTCTGTTGCACTTCTCTCGCTTCTTTCTTGTGGGCCACCTCTAACGTTCTTTGTGCTCACTGCAGCTCAGCAAAGAGCTGTCATCTTGTTAGGAGGTTGTTGTCTAACAGCAGGCTTCTCTCGACTCCGGCTCCATTTCTCTTCTGTAAGAGGAGCCTACGAGTAGGCGTCTGTCTTGGTGGTTAGGAAATCCATGTCCTGCACTCGTGTGCTTGGGTGCCCAGCCTAGCTGGTTCCTGCTGATGCGGAGCCTGGAGCACAGTGGTGGTAGTTCGGGTGCTGGTTCCTGGCTCCTGCCCTTGGCCTCAAGCCGGGGCTGTGATGAGTGTTTGGGAGAGAACCTGTGATTGGGAGCGATGTTTCTGTATCTCTCTGTGACTCTGCCTCTTAAATAATTTTTTTTAAAAAGAAGTGTGTTGAAATGGAGGTGAATTATTACTCATTGTATATTGGGAAAGCTGAATTTCTATGTGAATTTTAGCAACAACTAAGATTTCAAAGAGAGACTGAGTGGATTTTGTGTTTGGTGGATTTGAAAGTAAAATACTTGTTGCAGGTGATCACCCTATAAGAACAAAGTGCTCCTTAAAAAGTTGGTTGGCTTGCAGAAGGCAGAACCTGCCTCCATTCCCTTGTTGCTGCACTATGCTGGTTCATGGTTTTCCAAGGTCAGCCCCACAAACGTGTATGACAAGTGTGTGCATAAATATACATGCGTATTTAATAAAACAGTAGCAGAAACCTGTTATAATATGATTTATTTTCATCTTATTGTCATGGAAAGATCTGGTTTACAAATACCCCCATGAGGTCGTTTAAAATGATGACATTTGAAAATAAGACCTGTCTCTGTGTTGACACGCATCCTTGCCCTTTTTCATTGCCAGAAACGGAGACGATGAAGATACTCCTCATCCGCCTGCAGCAGCCTATTGTCATCAGCGGGAAAGAGGCGATGAAGGTAGAAATCCACTTTGATGTACAGCTTGCCATCGCACAGGCAGCCACTCGAGCACTGGGACAGGACAAACAGGTGCAGGTTTAATTCTTGCTGATGATTTGAAACTGTTTTCCCAGCTCTCTCATTTCCCCATCGGCGTTGGAGGATGTGAACGTTGGCTGAAAAAGCTGTGGTCTCCTGAGGGTCCCTTGAAGAGTCAAGCGTCCTAACCCCATTTCTTCCTTTTTATGTTGTCAGTGTCTCCGTGGTGTGGAACACTGACCCTCTCAGCATGCCTCCAAATGCTCTACTCCATTTCCTGTGCACCATGGGAAAGTTGACAGGGATGACATCATCCCTGACCATTTCTTCCTGGGGTCCCACCGACATTCCTGGTGGGTTTCTTGCACTGTTCTCTCTCTCTCTCTCTCCTCACCTTCCTATCTACAGAGTGAATTGGGTAGAATCTGATCTCTTAGGCTTGCAAAGGTCTGGTCCTCCCACACTGGACTTGGAGGAGGGCAGAATTGGAACCAGTTCACTGAACCAATTCACTGAAAAGCCTTTAACAGACTGACCTCTTCTCCCATAACACAGAGCTGTATCCCAAGCTTTGCATGTTCCTGGATGCTTTCTTAAAGGCTGCTACTTTAACACTTGTTACTTATTTATATTTATTTGAAGGAGGCCGAAAGAGACCCTTCACTCACTGGTTTGTTTCTCTGTGATGCCTTCAATACTCAAAGTTGGGGCGTGCTGAAGCTTGTTGCCTGGAAGTCAATTCAGGTCCCCTGTGTGGGTGCCAAGGACCTACGTAGCTGAGCTGTGTGACTGCTCTCCCAGAGGGAGCATTGGCGGGATGCTGGATTGCAAATGGAGCACCTGGGCAGGCTACTGCTTTAAAGTCGCATGGCTTCTGGCTTATGTTTCAGGTGTTGCCTGATCAGATGGAAACTTCCTGGGAACTTTCTACTAACTTTGAGAAGGAAGACACCATGGCTATGGTTCCTAATGGCCATGACAGAGAGACAGGTATTTTGGAAAATGGCAAAATTCTGCCTCTGAAAAGTGATGACAAAATCAAACTTGGAAGAAGTCCCTGAAAACCTAGCATCATGCGAGATTGTTTGAGTATGAGTGTGTCACTGGAGAAGGAAGAGTTGCTCAGAGCTTGTCCCTCGGAGATGGCAAAGGAGAGCAGAAGCTGGGGTGGCAGGGAGCAGGAGATGGGAGCGTTGGTCAGTCTTGTCTTCCCTTGAAGCCAGTGCAGCAATAGACTGGACCAGATGCATTTTTTTAAAAGCTTGTTTATTTTTTAATTCAAAGGTAGATTTTACACAGATGGAGAATATCTTCCATCTGCTGGTCCATTCTCCAAATGGCCATGATGACTGTAGCTGAGCCCTTCAGGAGCTAGGAGCTTCTTCCGGGTCTCTCATGTGCTTGCAGGTTCCCAAAGACTTGGGCCATCCTCTGCTGCTTTTCCAGGCCACAAGCAGAGAGCTGGATGGGAAATGGAGCAGCAAGCTGGACACGAGCTGGCACCAGTTGGGATGCTGGCCCTGCAAAATGGATGATTAGTCAATTGAGCCATCGTGTTGGCCCCTATGTGACTTTTTAAAAATATGTTTGTTTATTTTGGAAGACAGAATTATGGAAAGGGAGAGATAGAGATCTTCCATCTGCCAGTTTGCTTCACAGTTGGCCACAAGGGAATGATGGACCAGACTAAAGCCAGGACCGTCATGTGGGTCTCCCTTGTGGATAGCCGGGACTCAAGCCCTGGGGCCATCAGCTGCTGCTTTTCTCAGGCCATTAGCAGGGAGCTGATGCAGCAGTGGGGCAGTGAGGACAGGAACCAGCACCCACGTGGGATGCCAACATTGTAGGCTGAGGCTTACTTACTATGCCACCAAGCTGGCCCTGTTTTTTTCCTAATGTGTACAGAGCAGACGGAAGAATCCACCAACCTGGCACAAGTCATGAGCCCTGAAGATGACCACTGCCCAACAGTTCTCCCCATCAGTGAGCATGCCCAGCTTCCTGTGAGTACGGGGCCCTGGGCGCCAGACTGGGACCTGGGTCTACCCAGGACATTGGCAGGAGGAAGTTCTGCAAACATTTTTCTGTCCAAACTAGAAATGCTTTGAGCCTTCCTGCCTTTAGATAACTTCACCAGCTTTGTTGATGGCTCCCCGCTTTCCTTCAGTGCGGTTTCCCAGCTAAGGCATCGCGTGGCTGACCTCTGCCTCGGTGCCCAGTTTGGGATTAGGAGACTGATGCTTGGGAACCCAGGTAGGGAAAGAAGGGATATGATGGCAGGCTTTTCTTTTGAACACGTCTGATTTCACATAAATGGGCATCTTTAAAGTCCTCCGGAAGCTGTACACTTCAGCAGCAAAGACCCAGTGGGAGTCATTCTCCCTTGGTCTTTGTGACACTCTGAGACTGTCTTGGATGGCAGAAAATTCTTTCCTGAGAGTGGTTTGGAATGTTTTGAAATATCCTACAGACATTTGGAGCCACTGGTTTCATTTTGTGTAAATGATTTGTTTTTTTGCAAGATAGAGTTGCAGAGAGGTGGGAAAAAGATCTTTCAGCTGTTGGTTCACTGTCCAGATGGCTGCAATGGCTCTGGGCCAGGCTGACGCCAGGAGCCCCAAATGCCACCTGTGGGCGGCAGGGACGTGAACACTGGGCCAGGCTGACACCAGGAGCCCTGAATGCTACCTGTGGGCGGCAGAGACACCAGCACTGGGCCAGGCTGACGCCAGGAGCCCCGAATGCCACCTGTGGGCGGCAGGGATGCCAGCACTGGGCCAGGCCGACGCCAGGAGCCCCGAATGCCACCTGTGGGCGGCAGGGATATGAGCACTGGGCCAGGCTGACACCAGGAGCCCTGAATGCTACCTGTGGGCGGCAGAGACACCAGCACTGGGCCAGGCCGACGCCAGGAGCCCCGAATGCCACCTGTGGGTGGCAGGGATGCCAGCACTGTCCGTCTCATGCTATTTCCCCAGGAGCATCAGTATGGAGCTGAATCAGAAATGGAGCAGCTAGGACTGAACTGGTGCTCATCTGGGGTGCTGGCACTGCAGGCGGTAGCTCTGCATGCTACGCCACTGAGCTGCCTAAGTCAATCCATTTATTAGTAAATCCAGAGCCTAGTGTTTAATTAATAGATGTGTGTGTGTTTAAAGAGATGTATGTGTCTTTATTGGAAAATCAAATTTTACAGAGAGAAGGAGAGACAGGGAAAGATCTTCCACTGCTGGTTCATTCCCCAGTGCATGCAAAGTGAGGGCTTTAGCCACTAGTCTACTGCGCCAGGCCCATAAGTGCGGTTTTCTGATAAGCTGTATAGCAGTTGCGAAAGAGTTTAAAACAGTTTTCAAAGGTACTATAAGAATTTTTTTTTGACAGCAAACTGAAACTGCTGAACATTTACCTGAAAAACTGAAGCCAGATGCATTAAAGAAAGGTGAGATTTTTCTTTTATGTATAAATATATCATATATATATAAATACATACCATCAATATACATGCTATATAGACATAGGTATATCATAGGTAAGACCTGAGTCTCCTTGCGTGTAAATACTACTTAGAGGTTTAGCATTATTTTTCATTTTGTCCGCTAGAAGTTACGTCGGCGCATGAGTATTCTTCAGACTTACCCGAATCACGTGTGAACGCTCAGAGTCCTGAGCTCAGTGTTAAGGCCAGGTAAGTGGCTTTCCCAGCTCCGAAACGCGTTGCTCACTGATGGTGTGGCCAAAGCTGCCTCCCACTGCTGCCTTTGGCGGCCCCCTACTCAGAAGTCAGCGCTGTGTGGGATGAAAAGAATGATTTCTTTTTAAAACTTTGAGATTATTTCTTTGAAAGGCAGAGTGACAGGAGAGAGATCTTCCCCCCCACCTTTTTTTTTTTAAAGATTTGTTTTTATTGGAAAGCTGACTTATACAGGGAGAAAGAGACACAGAGGAAGATGTTCCACTCGCTGGCTCACTCCCCAAGTGGCTGCAACAGCTGGAGCTGAGCCTATTTGAAGCCAGGAGCTTCTGCTGGCTCTCCCACATGGGTGGAGGGGCCCAAGGCTTTGGGCCATCCTCTACTGCTTTCTCAGGCCACAAGCAGGGAGCTGGATGGGAAGCTGGGATGCTTCCAGGATAAGAACTGACACCCATATCGGATCCCGGCACTTGCAAGCCAAGGATTTAGCCACTGAGCCATAACTCTGGGCCTAAGACTGACATTTTTCATCCACTGGTTTACCGCCCGAACGGACACAAGTGTTAGGTCTGGGCCAGGCTGGCAGGAGGAGCTGGGAAAACCATCCAGGTCTCACATGGGGCTCAAGCACTTGGGCCATCTTCTGCTGCTTTCCCAGGCGTGTTAGCAGGGAGCTGGATCAGATAAGAAGTAGGACAATTAGGACTTGAAGCAGCGCTACAATGTGGGATTCTGGCATCAAATCCTGGCTTAGCCCTCTGCCACAGCGTCCCTGGAGAACGCGTGGGGGAGGTGTGGGCTGTTACCCAGGCCGCTTCTCCATGCCTCTAGAGTTAGCTCAGGCAGTGTATGTTTTTTTCAGCAAAACACTGGATTTAAGACCAAAGGACGCAGATCCATATACAAACATCAGTTGCCTTTCTGAATGCTAATAACAAGTAGAATAATTAACAACCAATACCGTTTACAGGTGAGTTAGTGACAGAATAATTTCCGAGCTCCGTAAGACCACACACGTACTTTGGGGTCTCTGATGTTGCTGAGGGTTGTTAAGTATAAGCAGAGACAGATGAGCTCTTGCCATGGAAGACTCGGGAGGAAGATTCCAGAACCTCCAAAATTGACCTATGAATTAAATACAACCCCTGATTTAAATCATTGAAGGTGGGCCCAGGCGCAATAGCATAGTGATTAAAGTCTTCACCTTGCATGCACCAGTATCCCATAATGGGTGCTGGTTTTAATCCCAGCAGCCCAGCTTGCCATCCAGCTCCCTGCTTGTGGCCTGGGAAAGCAGTTGAGGACAGCCCAAAGCCTTGAGACCCTGCACCCGTGTGGGAGACCTGAAAGAAGCTTCTGGCTCCTGGCTTTGGATTGGCTCAGCTCTAGCCATTGCAGCCACTCGGGGAGTGAATCATCAGATGGAAGATCTTCCTCTCTGTCTCTCCTCCTCTCTGTATATCTGAGCTTGCAATAAAAATAAATAAATCTCTTTTTTCCTATTTTTCTGCTTTTTTGTTTTGTTTGGCAACATTGGGTGATTTATTTGAAAGGCAGAGGGAAAGGAAGGGGCAGGGGTGTATGGTGGATGAATAGAGAGAGGAAGGAAGTGAGAGAGAGGTTCACTCTGCAGGGGGCTGGAGTGGCTGGGGCGGAGACAGGCTTAAGGCAGAAGCTTCATCCAGGTCTTCCACGTGGCTGCAAATGTCCAACCACATGGGTCACCTCCTGCCTTGCCAGGTGCCTTAGCAGGGAGCTGGGTCAGAATTGGAGCAGTAGGTACTGGACCTGGTGCCCATGTGGGCTGCTGGCACTGCAGGCGGTGGCTTCACGGGCTATGCCACAGTGCTGCTCCCCAATTTTGTAAGAAACTGGCAAACTGTTTTGAAAATTGCTTGTAGAAAATGAAAAGGTCTTTAATAGTCAAAATGGATTGAAAAAGCGGGAGGGCTCATAGACTCCCTGCTTGCAAACTGCATCAATCTAGGGAATGAGATGTTGGTCTCACGATAGAACTGACTGGGATGGTGTGACGTAGAGCACGGCCTATCTAGAAGGCTGGTCTCTGCCATGAGTGCAAAGACAGTTCAGTGACGACAAGAAGCATTTTCAACATATGATGTTCAAACAGTTGAATATTCATATGTAAGAAAATAAGTGACCTTTGATCTTTTCATCATATAGAAGCATTAAATATGCATCAGAAATCTGTATGTGAAACCTATAAGAAAAATCACTTTTGAAAAGCCTTCGTGTCTATGGGTTAGTGAAGATTGCTTAGCTGTCACATCAGAGCATAATTCATAAAAAAAAGTTGATAAAATTGGACCCCATCAGACTAAGAAAATCCACGTTCTTTACAACCCGTTGTTAGTGGGAGGTCATGGCTCGGTGTCTACAGTTCTTTGGGCACTGGGGACCCACGTCTACGGGCCTGGGTTGGAGACCTGTTTCTGGATCCAGATTCGAGCTTCCTGCCTTGGGAGGCAGTGGTGCTGGCTCAGGTGGTTGGGTCCCTCTGCCCATGCGGGAGCTCCTGTAAGCGTTGGGCATGGACCAGTAAGTAGCAGCTCATTCCTCTGCCTCTCAAATTAAAAAGAGAAATTGTTTTAAAATCACCATTAGATTGCAGAAAACAGTTGATAAAGGACTTGCATCTGAAATATTTAAAACACTCTCAATGTGATCATCAAAATTAAAAACAAATGAAATTATCATCAGAAGGGCCAGTACAATTGTTCAATTGGTTAATTCTCTACCTCGTAGTGTCAGCATCCCATAAGGATGCATCCCAGCTTCTCTACTTCCCATCCAGCTCCCTGCTTGTGGCCGGGGAAAATAGTGGAGGATGGCCCAAGGCCTTGGGACCCTGCACTGTGTAGGAAACCCATTAGTTACTGAGGAAATTTAGGTAAAAAAAAAAAATAAACTATAATGAGATGCACTACACACCCACTAGACTGGCTAAAATTAGATTGTGCCAAGTGCTGGTGAAAATGTAGAGCAGTTTAGATATTTCTAGCAGTTTCTTAAAATGTTAGATTTTTAGCAAGCCTTTGACCCATTGAGCTGTTCTCATACTAGGTGTCTTCCCAAGAGACACATCAGTGAGTGCATACGGAGGCGTGAGTGTTTTATAGCGACTTTATTTGTAATAGCTCTGAACTGGAACAAACCTAAATGTCTGCCAACACGTGACATACTGACACACTTTGACATATCCACACATTGGAATGCCACATAGAAATGGAAAGGAATGGATCCACCAGTGTGGCATAGCTGGTCATGGTGCCGCCTGTGATGCCAGCACCCGACATGGCACATGTTAGTCCTGGCTGCTCCACCGCCAACCCAGTTCCCTGCTGGTGGCCTTGGAGAGTAGTACAGGATGGCACATGTGTTTGGGTCCCTGCTTCATATGGGAGACCCCAGTGAAGCTCCTGACTTCTGCCTGTGGTCGGGCCTCGTCTGCCTGTTGTGGCTAGCTGGGCTGTGAAGTAGTGGTCGAACATCAGTTCATATTCTCTCTCCTTCTCCCTTTTTCTCCCTCTCCGTCTTCACTTCTCTCCCCAGCTTTCCCTGTCCCCCCCATTCCCTGTCCCCCTCTCGCTCCCTCTCTCTACTTCCTCTCTCTTCTGTCTTCTCTCTCTCTAATTCTACCTTTCAAATAAATACATTTTTGAGGCAAAAAATAATGAATTTGGATATATGTAACTTTAATTCATCTCAGAGTAATTATGCTCAGTAGAAGAAGCTGGGCCACAAGAGTACATATTATAATGATTCTATTATGTGAAACGCTAGAAAATGCAGACATAGGTTGGGTCAGTGGCTGCCTAGAAATGGTGGTATATTTGCTTTTATTTTGTGCTAAAGGCACAGTGTGAGGGCTACCTTCTTATTTTTTTTTAACTTTTTTTTTTTTTCTGAAAGCAGAATTTAAAGGAGAGAAAGAGAGAAAAAGAGAGAGAGATCTGTTGGTTAACTTCCCAAATGGTTCTGGGGCTGGGCCAGGCCACAACCAGGAGCCAGGAACTTTACCCTGGTCACGCACGTGGGTAACAGGGGTTCAAGCACTTGGGCCATTTTTGCTGCTTTTCCTGTTAGTAGGAAGTTGGATCAGAGCTGGAGTAGCAACGGTACAGGATATGAACACTGCAGTTGGTACCACAACACTGTGGCACGACACTTGTCCTTTTGGTATATTTTCTAAGTAAATAATATGATATTGTTGCTTACAGGCCCAATGGCGTACAGATGACCTGAATTGGCTCTTGTATAATTGCAACTCTATTCCCATTGAATAACAGTTGCCCAGTTTCCCTTCTCCCCAGTATTTGTCAGTTACCACTCTGTTTCTGCGAGTTTGTTTTAGATGTCACTATAAGCAAAATCATGCAGAACTTGATTTTCTGTGCCTGGCTTTTTCTTAACACAGCATCTGCAAGGTTCCTAGAGAATGGCGTATGTGGCTGAATCTGCTTTGAGCTGGGTGTGTTTCGCTGGATATCCACACCACTTTTGGCATCTGTGTTTATCTGCTTATGGACACCTAGGCAGATTCTGCATACTGACTGTTGCAAATGGTGCTACAGTGAACATTGGGGCACACATACCCCTTCCATGTACAGATGCCAGTTCTTTAGGATACATACCTGTAGTATTTATCCCAACAGCAGGTGTTACTGTGGGAATTCCATTTCTAATTTGAGTCTCCAGACTCTTTTCCATAGCAGCTTTACGATTTTACGTTCCCACCAACCTGTACAAAGTTTCCAATTGTTCTATGTCCTTGCCACCACTTATCTTTTGTTGTCACTTTTGTTTTTATTTTGATGACAGCGGACCCTATGTCTGATAGTTTAATATCTAAAATGTATAAGGGCAACTCAATGGCAAAAAGCAAATTCATCCCAATTAAAAAAAAAGTTGGCAATGAATTTGAAAAGGTCATTTTTAATCAAAGGAAGACAGGTGACGAGCAGGTAAGGGAGAAGCTGACCAACTGGAGTATCTCTGGTGGAAAGCTCTTAGGTGGTTGCAAGGCAGAACAGGCCTGTGACGCTGGGCACTTCGGCTTTGCCACAGCTGCCTGGTTTCCCATTGCTCCACCCCGCCCTTCTCTTCCCTCTGAACCTGACAGACAAAGGACTCCCAAGGCTGTGTTGTTTCTCTTCTCTGTTCTTACCTGCCGGAGAATCTGCAGTCATAGATGCACATGATAGCAAGTTTGCAGGATGGGGCACTACCGGGCACCAGGTTTGTGTCTGGGCAAAGAATACATGAAGGATACAAAAGTTGGGGGCTGTGAGCGAGGGGAAGGGAGAGGGTGCTGGTTGTACCTGTCCCACTCACCAGGCACGTTTTGTTTTAGGGGCGATTCTGCTTTCAACAGTGACAAAAGGCGAGCAAGGAGAAGGACGTTGGTAATGTAATAACTTTTATCCTTTTAAGGCAATGTGCCCTACACTTCAGATGCTTGCCTATCACCTTCACCGCGTGCTGTGGCTCTCTTTGTCATCTGTACTGTTTCTTAATGAAAAGTACCTTAAATTTATTCAAACATTTTAAAATACATATTTTATTGCATTTTTAACTGGAAATGAACATTACTTATTACAAGTAGCAGCAAGCCCCTATATAAAGTGAAAATAACCCTTGAATGCTATTACTTGATTTATTCATTGCATGAAATGTGCTTAATGATTTGCAAACTATGAAAGGGTCAATGTGCCATACTCAGGCCTGTCCAGTTAGATGGACAGGTGGGTCAGCCCTATTGATAGTCTTAGAAGGAATTACCATTTCATGTTCTCATTTGATGGCAAATAGGTCATGGAAAGTGGAAAAAGTCGTTTATTCAGTCTTACGCAACTGCAGCAAGTTCTTACCCCGTCAAGAATTCACTCACCTTGGGTGACAGCTGATGGGTGGGCGTAGTGGTCCCTTCTTTCTCATGAGAAATGGAAGCCTGGAACCAGAGATACTACAAAAGCCTTACATGCTGTTTTCTCCTAATCATGATAGCCACGTTCAGGTGGAACTTACACAGTGGACATAATGAGAGGCGAACAATAATAGCTGGCAATAACACCAAGCGATCAAAGTTTTGTGAATGTGATATCTTTCTCTTGAAATATTTTACTATTTTGATGTCATTCTCGTGAAGGGACACGACACAGTGTTACGTCTCTGTCATTCTACTTTTCAAATAAATCTTTCAGGAAATAATAAAAAAAAAAAGAATCATGCAATAAGACTTTCCCAGTTTCTTTGGTCCTTTATCAAAAAATGCTGAAAGTTTGCAACAGTATGCGTATTTAGAGTAACAGTTCATAAATTTGGCTACACACCAGGATTACAAGAGGGGACTCGGAGAGAGATTCATTACTCAGACACTGTTGCACAAAGGAAGTTGGGCAGTTCCCATCTGCTGTTCCAGCCCATCAAATGACCATGAAAAGCTGGGCTCAAGGCCGGGAGCCAAGAATTCAGTCCCAGGCTGTCTCTTGGGGACAGACACACTAGTTCAGCCCTCACCACTGTCTGCCAGGCTAGAGCTGGAATCTGATGGGGCATGTGGACATCTCAACCGTTGTCTTAACCACTAGCTCAAACCTCTGCTCTTCAATCATTTTTTTTTAAAAAATTATTTAATTTTTTAAATTGGAAAGGCAGACATTCAAAGAAGAGAGAGAGATCTCCTGTCCACTGGTTCACTCCCCAAGTAGCCACAACAGCTGGTGCTGAGCCAATCTGAAGACAGGAGCCAGGAGCCTCCACTGGGTCTCCCATGCTGGTAAAGGGTCCCAAGGCTTTGGGTCATCCTCTACTACTTTCCCAGACAACAGGCAGGGAGCTGGATGGGAAGTGGAGCAGCTGGGACATGAACTGGTACCTATATGTGACCATGGTAGATGCAGGGCAAGGATTTAGCCACTAGACTCGCACGCTGGGCCCTTCTTTTTCAGATCCATCTGCTCAGGAGACACCTAAGGGTTAGTGTTGAGGTATAAAAATGCAGGCTGCTGCGTGCAATACCAGCATCCCACATTGGATCCTGAATGCTCCACTTCCAGTCCTGCTGCCTGCGGGGTGTGTGGGAGAGCAGCAGAGGACAGCTCAAGTGCTTAGACTCACACACCCACGTGGGAGACCTGGAAGAAGCTTCCGGTTCCCAGCTGCTGCCTGGTCCGGCTCTGACTGTTGCAGCCACTGCAGAGCGAACTAGCACATGGAAGATTTCTGTGTCTCCCTCTGTCTCTCTATAACTCTGCCATTCAAATAAACAAATACATAAAATTTTTAGTATTTTAAAGTTGGCAACTCTTACATCTTAGTTGCAAATACCTAATTAGAATTTGGTCATCCTTGAGATCGCATCTTGCTTGATAACTGACACATGAAAAATTACTTTTCTCCTCGGCGTTACTTCTGAATCACTTTTGTGTAAGAGAGCCCAGTCTCCAGGAGTCCCTTCTCTTGTGTGTAACTTTGTAGTAATAGATTGCTCATACATAAATGGGGCCGATCCCCCTTCGAGGGCTTCATTTATCGTTTCATTTGTGTTTGTAACAGGTTAATTACAGGAAACACCTCTTTTCTGACAGCAATGAGGATTCTAGCAGTAGTGCTGGTGAGCATTCTTGGACTGGGGACCAAAAGAAGAAATTGCTAATACCGTATCCCAATAGGAGAAGGAAGACGAAAGTCCGAAAACGTGGCAGCGGTAAGTTTGACGTTTGTCTTCTGAGGAATTTCTGAAATCAAGCAGCAGGGATTAACTTCTTAGTGTGCTACATGAAAGGGTGCCCGAGAAGTGTGCGGCCATTGCACCCTCCTTCCCCATCTCTGTGTCTCACGAACACTGAGCGGAGGTGGGATGAACGGTTCTGAGACAGAGAGCTGAGAATGGACCAGGCGTTGTTCACTGTGAGTTACAGCTGTTTGGAGTAGGTTCAGGGTGGGGGATGTGGCAAGGCTCCGAGGATGGGGAGAGTGGGACTGAAGCCAAGTGGGATTTGAAGGGCAGAGAGGATGGGGCAGCAAGCCCGTGACACCATGAGGACACGGTGAGGGCGTGCTGGTGGTGCTCGGAGACAAAGCCTGGGTGGTGAGAAAAGAGGTGGCGTCTTTCAACGGGAGGTTGCCGTCGCTCCTGGCATGGCCCTGCACATCTGGGGGCTGAGTTTCTGTCTCTTCAGGAAATATAGCCATGGTATATCTGCTGCTTTTTCTTCCAGTTCTGCTGCCTTTTTCCCTCAGCAGTGCTAGCGACAATGAGAAAGACCAGGTAAATAAACCCACTTTGTATTGCTTCTGCGTCCTTATGGTTATGATGAGCCCATTTATTTCTAAGGCTTTCAGGAATATGAGAAAAACAAACCAGTGGTCTAATGGTTTGGAAATCACTCCAGCAGAAATGGCAAGGGCAACTTAGCATTTCCTATGAATTGATGATTTTCCATAAACACTGCTGTTCAAAGTATGATTGACTTGGAGCAAAGATTAGGGGAAATGTTTCTGTCGTGCTAAATAGGAGAAGTCTTAATATGCTTTCGTTGAACTCAAGAGGCAGAGCTGGCAGGAGTGGTGATGGGGTGTACAGGGAAAGAGGGAGGAAGAGACACTTCTACCCGCTGGTTCATGTCCCACATGCCTGTAGCCAGAGCTGGGCCAGGCTGAGGCCAGAGCCTGGAACTATCCAGGAACCTCTGGCTGGGTGGCAGGGGACCAAGCACTTGAGCCAGCATCCTCTGTCTGCTCTGCTGCCACAGCAGGAACAGAAAGTGGAGGGCCTGAGGAGCTTGCCAGCTCTGTGATGTGGGTGGGGTGCAGGCCAAAGGGCAACCTCACCTGCTGCACACTGGTTGGTTTCACTTGAAAGCAAAGCAGCAGAAAGAGAAGAGACGGAGAAAGCGGTAAAAATTTAGGCTCTGCAAGCTTTGCGGCTTCTTTGGCAACACATCATCTCTGCCTTTGTAACCCCAAAGCAATCATAGTGTGAAAATGTGCTCTGTGTTACAATAAAACTTTACTTACAAGAGTCAGCAGTGGGTTGAACCGAGCTGCACCTGTCTAAATCTGGGAGTCATAAGCATCTTCTGTGTCTCCCACATGGGTACAGGGAACCCATGGAGGAACAGCAGGTGCAACAGCAGAGAGCTGGATTTGAAGTGGAGCAGCTGGGATGTGAATCAGTGCCCATTTGAGATGCCAGTACCACAGGTGGAGGCGTAGCCTGACATGTGTCTCTGCTGGCCCCAGCAATTCCTGCTTTAACAAACCATCCTGCTCATTCTGATGGTCGCTGAAGTTTGAGAACCTGTGCTCAAATCCAGCTCTCTGCTCTTGCGCCTGGGGAAACAGCAGAGCATGACCCAGGTCCTTGGTTCCCTGCACCCATGTGGGAGATACAGAAGATGCTCATGACTCCCAGATCCAGACAGGTGCAGCTGTAGTCATGGCAGCCAGCTGCGGGATAAATCAGAAAACATAAGAGTTCTCTTTCGCCTCTCTCGCTCTGTAACTCTGAATTTCAAGAAAAAGAAATAAAACTAAACCATACTTTTTAAAAGATTGCGAATTTGTATTTCTATCAAGCTGTAAGGTGTTGCATTGTCATACTTTGGGAACTGCTAGTTAACAGTGATCAACTGAAACTTAGACAACTCATTTTTAAGCGCCTAAGCATCCAATAATTCCACTTCTTCAGTGTCTTGGAGGATTTTTTTTTTTCTGATGTTTTGAATGTGTCTTGATTGGCTGAACTTCTCACACCACTGCAGGACACATCCAGGCAGGGGAAGGCCACTCGTCCAGAGATGGCTGCACCTGGCTTGCGGGGGAGTCCTGCCACCGTAATTCCTGAAGATTTCTCCCAGACACCAGGTTCGTGACTTCCTGTTGACATGTTTTCCAGTAAAGACACCCTGTGGTAAATAAAGCAATTTTCTTTTGCTGTCTATTGAGGAACGTGTGAAGATGTGATTATCTTCACAAAAACGATGTGGAGGTTTTGTGTTACTTTCTGAAATACTGGAGCATCCCTCCCCCGCCGTGTAGATTCGTGTTTAAGAATATATTAATGCTTCCCTTTTCTTTCTCCCTTGCTCCCTTCCTTTTTTTCAGTCTCAAGATAACATCTTTTCAATTCACATTGTGAGCAAAAGCTCATTATCCCACTAAACAAGGAACTCAAGTGAAAACACGAGTTCAGTGGGAATTCAGACAAGGGTTAGGAACAACAATCAAAAAAAAAAAGTTGCTCATTTCACTTATATATATATAATAAATTTTAAAATATCCACAGATTATTCAAGTGTAGTAATGTGTCATCCTTGACCACTGATTTGACAGAAATATAAAATGGAATTTGATGGGCCTGGCATGATGGCTTAGCTGGGTAGATCCTCGCCTGGTAAGCCCCAGAATCCCATAATGGGCTGGTTCATGTCCCAGCTGTCCCTGCTTTCCTTCTAGCTCCCTCACTGTGGTCTGGGAGAGCAGTAGAGGATGGCCAAAGGCTTTGGGACCCTGCACCCGTGTGGGAGACCTGGAAGGAGCTCCTGGCTCCTGGCTTTAGATTGGCTCAGTTCCAGCCATTGCAGCCACTTGGGAAGTAAACCAGCAGGTAGAAGATCTTTCTCTCTGTTTCTTTTTCTCTCTATAAACTTAGTCTGCCTTTACAAAGAAAATAAATATATAAAAAGGTATTTGACAAATTTCAAAATAATTTTGTGGTGTAAACCCTCAGCAAATTAGGTACTTGTGGATTGTACTTCAACACAATGGAAACTAATAGCATTGGGTCCACAGGTAACATCATATTCAGAGGTGGGAAGTTGAAAACTGTTCTTCTAAGATGAGGAGCAAGACAGGGTTGTCTGTCTCCCCTTTCTAACAGTAATACAAGTCCCAGACAGAGCAAGCAGGCAGGGAATGAAAGCTTCCAAATTGGGAAGAAAGAAGTGAGGTTTCCACTGTTTGGGTGAGATGGTCAGCCTATGGGAACCAGACTCCCCTGACCTTGTGAGAACTAATCACATCAACTCAGTAAAGTTTCAGGGTGGAAAATCAAAATGCAAAAATCTGTGCTTCTACATGATTTCAAAATGAACCATCTGGAAAATCAAGAAAACCATCCCATTAAAATAGAAGTGGGGCCCGGCACAATAGCCTAGCAGCTGAATTCTCACCTTGTGTGCACTGGGATCCCGTAGAGGCACCAGTTTCTATACTGACTGCTTCACTTCCCATCCAGCACCCTTCTTGTGGCCTGGGAAAGCAGTTGAGGACGGCCCAAAGCCTTAGGACCCTGTACCCATGTGGGAGACCCAGAGCAAGAGGCTCCGGGCTCCTGGCTTCAGATCAGCTCAGCTCTAGCCATCACGACCACTTGTGGAGTGAACCAGCAAACTTTCTGGAAGATCTTTCTCTCTGTCTCACCTTCTCTATAAATCACCTTTCCAATGAATATAAATGTATCTTTTAAAAAAATCGAATCCAAAAGAATTAAAAGTAGCAATAAAGCGAGGAGAGAGCTGGATACCAAAGCCATGGACTAGTAATGAAATAAGTTGAATAAGGAGTTAGTATTGTTAATGCTGTTAAGATGACCATGCCTCCCCCAAATTAAAAATAGGACAATGTGACAGTCTCCCTGTGCGTTTCCATCCAAGGGAAATGGTATATCAGAAAGATGTCCATGATCCTACGGGCATTGTAGCATTCTTAACAGGATGTGAAAACAATTACATACCCCTCGCTCAGTGAGCAGGTGAAGAGGGAGGTGTTGGACAAATGCGCACAAAGTCTTTTTTTAATATATTTTTATTTTGAATTTTGAATTATGTGGTACAATTTTGTATAGGCTGGGATTTCCCCCCAAACTTCCCCTCCTCATCAGATTTTTCCCATTTTGTTACAATAGTGTAGTCCTTCATAAGGAATCATAATTCCATCAGTCTCTTATTTGAGTGTACCCCGGCATTGTTGGTACAGACACTGTCAGACAGTCCAGCATCCCATTGTCTACACATGTCCAACAGTTTCGTTGGGAATCCATCTTTCGTTTGGATGCAGGGATGCATGTTCCATTATACCCCCATACCTGGATATGGTGGACCCCGGTACTCCATCAGTATACATTATCACAAGTGAGAAGCCATGAAACCAGGTCAACAACTGGTGTGAAAACAGTCACAACAACAACAACAACAACAAATTACAGCACCATGAAAAAAACACAAAATACGCACAGATTCTAAGGTGACCAAGAGGTAGGGATCTGATGCACAGCGTGGATGTTGACCTTGGCGTTAATATGACAACTCTCACACAACACGCATGTGTGTCAAGTCATGTCACACACACACACACGAGTCAGAGGAAATATGGAGGGGGTCCTCGGGGAGAAGAAAGATTCACGGGGTGACCTTACCCAGGTGGATGGCTACCAACATTGTTGAGTTAGTTCATCGAGGTGATTGGCCGTTTCGTCTACAGAACTACAACCCTAGGAAGCAAACATCTTGAAAATGCAACATTGGGATTTTATTTAGCACTATGTGCAGTTTGAAGGAATCAGGTTTACTATGGAGAGCGGTAGTGGGAGGTAACTGCCTCATTCTTGGCGTGTTTGTTCACTGGAACCCCCTCTTCCTCACGTGTAGAATATGCGAGTCCCCGGCTGCTGAGCGGGTTCTCTTCCAGGGAGTGCTCAGAGGCTGAAGAAAATGCATCCAAGGTATGCACAAATGGCATGTGTTTGAAAAGTGGAGCGTGAGCGAGCTCAGGGTGACAGTGATTCACGCCCCCCAAAATCTCACAATAGCCAGGGCAAAGCCAGGAGCCTGGAACCCCATGCTGGCCTCCCAGTCGGGCAGCAGGAACTGAAGTACTTACCCCATCATCTGCTGCTTCCCAAAAGGCGTATTGCTGGAAACTGGATCGGAAGTGGAGTGGCAAGGACCCCAACAACCAGGCACTGTAATATAGGATGTGGGCGTCTCAGGTGGCAGCCCCACCCAAGACCCCGCAATCGCACTTCTAAGATGCTACTTTGTGGTTGGCTGTTCATCTGTTCTTTCCCCAGAATTAATGTGTTTACATAACATGAGCTTGTTATGTTTAAGGGACTACTAATCTGTCACACAGATATGCATACACACATATGTTATAACAAATGCATGCATAACTACATCTATGTATATGTGTGTGATTATATAATATTTACATATTAGTTACAAAAGTATATGCATGTATTCCTTAGTCAACTATGGTTTGTTTGTCTTGAAGGTTGGGAACCGAGAGTCGCTAACGGACAATCCGAGTGTCAAGCATAAGCTGCAGAACCTGGAAGACAGAGGTAAGAGATGATACTGTTTCTCCCAGAATGAAGTGAAATTCATCCAGACTGGTGCTCAGATCACAGCAGACACACACGCTTTGCAGGCAAACTGCTGCCAGGCCTCGAGGTGAGCAGGGCGAGCTACCTTATCAGCTCCAAATGGTCCAGGAAGTCAAAGGGAGAAATGGGGGGGGCTCCGGCCTGCAGCCAGCCCCACAGGTGCCAAGGAAGGGACAGCCTGGGACCTGGCTCCCATCCAGCCCCCCTCCTGCCCAGCCACTCCTGCTGACCTGCTGCCAGAGGGGTTCTCATCCCCACGTTTGCAGGTCACCTGCAGTTTGTAAGAAATCTCCTAGGCAGTTTTTCTCATTTTTCTCATAGTTACAGGTTTCCAGGCAACATCATCCAACCACATTTATATGATAACATCTAGCTATGATGTTAACATATTAATGTAATGAATGAAAATAACACTGAGCCATCCCTTTGTGTGTGTGTGTCTGTGTATTTAAGATTTGTTATTTGAAAGGCTTAGATGGGGGAGCCATCTTTCATCTGTTATTTTAAATGTCTTTGAAAGTTTTTAAAAATTTTTAACTAATAAAATTATATGTGTGTATATATAGAATAACAAAAATTACACGTATACGTGAAATACTGTGTGATGTCTCATACCACGTAGATAGTTCGAGTTCTAATGTGGCGAGTACCTGGCCTGGTTGTGCCGATGGCTGTGCCGACTCACACCGCCAACCGTAAACCCGAGGTTTCCTTTTCTCGTTCTTCTCACCTGTCCTCGCTGCCTTTTCTCTCTTCGATACTGGCCGTGCTAACTGGATGCAGAGACAGCCCGTGGTATTGAGAGTACGGCCGGTATACCTATTCGCATTTGTACGCCTTTCTTTGAAAAATGTCTCTTTTGATTTGTTTCCTTTTTTAAAAGATTCACTTACTTATTTGCTGTGTTGAAAGAGTTCCGGGGAGATGGGGAGAGTCAGAGAAGAAGCATCTTTTCTGTTTTCTGGTTCACTCATCAAATGATCACACCGGCCAGGACCAGGCCAGGCTGAAGCCAGGAGCCTCATCCAGGACTCCCACCTGGGAGCAGGGGCCCAAGCGTCGGAGCCACTCTTCTGCCTTCCCATGCACAGTCACAGGAAATATTTATCTTACCTCTTTTTTACAAAAAGATTTATTTATTTTTATTGGAAAGTCAGATTCACAGAGAGAAGGAAAGACAGAAAGATCGTCCATCTGGCGATGTACTCCCCAGGTGGCTGCAATGGTTGGAGCTGAGCTGATCTGCAGCCAGGAGCCAGGAGCTTCTTCCAGGTCTCCCGTGTGGGAGCAGGATTCCAAAGTTTTGGGCTGTCCTCGACTGCTTTCCCAGGCCACGAACAGGGAGCTGGATGGGAAGTGGAGCAGCTGGGACATGAACTGGTTCCCATATGGGATCCCGATGCTTACAAGAAGGGGAGTTAGCCACTAGGCTGCCATGCCAACTAGGCTGCTGTGCCAAGCCCCCATTTTTTTTTAAAGAGTTTAGTGGTCCAATAGCTTCCAACTATTTTTAAATCCATTTTGCATTGATTTTGGTTTTGGTGAAAGAGGCTCATTTAAATTTTTGCACACTAATGTCTAGTTTTATGAGTTTTATTTGTCCGCGGTCTCTTAGTAACTTTGCCAATAAAAAAAGACTCTGGTGAGTTTTCTTTTTTTTAATTTAAAATTTTCTTTTTACTATTGTTTATACAGTTGAAAGGGATGCATGCCCAAGTAGGCCTCTGACTAGGGCGGGAGGGTTCAGGTATGGAGGACGGACATGTTTCAATGTTTTGTTTTTTTTTTTTCCTCCTGTGACAGCACGGGAGGAGGGGGGAAGTACCATTCCTTGCTGTCAAATTACATCAGCACCCAGGAATTGGGGATGGTCCTTTGATGATGCCTAAAGACCCCAATATGGGGAAAAGTGTTCCGAGCCGGGGGTGTTACCTGAGTGGTTTCAGTAGTTCTGACATTGGTGACTTCATTGTTCCAGGGTTGAGAAAATCTTTCCAAGGTTTACTGGCTGACTAAGTCCACCTTGGTGCATCCACAGACAGGACCACACTGCAAAGCTTGGCCTGAATTGTCCAGCCAGCTGTTTCCCAATCTCTGAGCTGACTGTTATGTCCCCTGTGTGTACCTGGACATGCTGTCCACTGCACAGGCATCAAGAGCTGAAGAGGTCAAGGCCTAGTACCTGCACTCCAAGGTGAGGTCACGTATCCTGGGATCCTTCCAGATTCCAGGGTCTAAGTCCAGCAGTCTAGTTGGGGAGTCCCCCATGAAACCTCACCTGGGGTGACTCTGCCTTGATTCGTGTGTGCACCAGCCAATGCAGGGTCAGATGTGGCCTGTCTCCTGCACAAGCCAACACACACGCATCTACCTGGTCAGTGCTACACAGCCCCATCTCTAATGCAAACTGATAGATGCTACAGCTCAACCCAGCCCAGCCCAGCCTGCCACAGGCCTAGTCTCCATGTACCCCAGCAGGTGCCTTGGCCTAGTTGGGGCAACCTCCAAAAACCTCACCAGGCCTGTATCCAGTCCAGGTTTTTGTGTGTTGCTGGCTTGTGCTGCAGCCTAGCCTGGTCTGTCCTGCATCCCGTCTGGCTCTTGTGTACATCCATGGGTGCTGCACATTAGCTCAGCCCAACTCACCCCAGACCTAGCCCACACACACATGCCAGTGGGTGCTACCGCCTTGCCCAGATTGGTCTTCCAACAGCCCTGCCATTGTCCTCACCGGTGAGAGCTGCAGCCTAGCAGAAGAGTGCCCACAGTTTCCCTACCAGATCCACTCCCAGCCACGGATCTTGTACTTGCCAGCAGTTACTACAATTGAGCCTGTTATGGCTTGCACCCAGTCCCAGCACTTGTCAGTGGTATGGCAGCCTAGTCTGGCCTGGCCTGGCCCACTCCCATCCCGCCTATGAACTGGAGAGTGTTATGCTTCAACCTGGCCTGGCCTGAGCCCTGTCTTGGCTCTCGTTTGTGCCAGTACATGTTGTGGACTGGTCCAGTCTGGCCTGTCCCTAGCTCTGGCCTTCATACTAACTACCAGGAGCTACACCCTAGCAGAGAAGTTCTCCAATCCCCATCAGACCCATTTTGTATCCCCAGATCTTGATCTCACATGTGTGGGGGCTGCTGTGGCCCCACTTGATATAGCTGGCTCCTGGTCCCAGCACTGAATGGTGGGTATTGTAGCCCAGCACGGACCATCCCACAGCCATTCGGGTTCTTGCAAGTCCCAATGGATGCTGGAGCATACCCCCGTCTGCTCTGCCCCCAAACCCAGACCACATGCATGCCAAAGCATGCTGCAGGCTTGCTCAGCCCAATCCAGTTCCCAGTTCTGGCTCTTGTCACTCCCCTATGGCAGCTACAGCCCAAGAAAGGAGTCCCCAAAGTTTTCCTACCAGACCCTTTCTTAGCCCTGGATCTTATGCATGCTGGCAGGTGCTTCAACCCAACCTGGTGTGGCCCACCTGCAGTTTCAGCTCTTGTTGGTGGGTGTTGCAGTCTAGCCCAGCTGGGTACAGCCCACACCCTGCCCTGGCTCTTGTGCTAGCCAGCAGGTGCTGTGGCCTGACCCAGCCCAGCCTGCCCCCAGATCTGGCTCATGCAAACGCTATGCCAATTCCTGGCCCATCTCCACTCCCAGCTCTTGAATTCTCTAATTGGAGCTGTGACCTAGTAGGGGACTTCCCCAAGTTCTTCCACTGGGCCCATCCCCAGACCAGGATCCCACATGTGCTGGTGGATGCTGCGGCCCTGTTTGCCACGGTTTGCCTTCTGTCCTGGCCCTTGCATGTGCTGGCAGGTTCCTGCCCCCACCTGGCTTTCTTTCAGCCCCAGCTCCTATGAGTGGCAGGTGGCTAACCTTGTCAGTTAAGGTCTGTGGTCCAGCCCGTCTCAACCTATTACTACCCTCAGCTCTCAACAGAAACCAGAGAGTGCTATAGACCCACAGCAGTAAGCCCAGAAGTCCCCTACAGAATCTGGCCCCGGATCCAATTCTCTTACTTTCTGGTGGGTGTTGCGGCCCAGCCCATCTTGGCCCACCCCCTACTCCAAAGGTTGCAGGCAGATATTATAGCATAGCCCAGCCAGACATGCTCCCCAGCCCCAGCTTTCGTATGTACCAGTGGGTGACAGGCGATATTTAGCCTACCTTAGATCTCCTCCATGGGCAGATGCCTTGGCCTGACCCAGACATGCCCTTTGGTTTCCCCTGCTAAACCGCTCTATCTCGGCTCCCTTGCCTACCTGTGAGTGCAGTGGTCTGGTCTCTGGAAGACACCAAAGTCATTCCTCCCCTGTGAAACATGACCTCGGCTGCTGTTACTCCAGTACATCTCAAACCTCTTTCTCTGGGCAGTTGGTAGCCTCCCCTTGCCTGCAGCCCAGGGTGGCATGTCCCAGCCCAGCATTCCCCACTTTACCCACTTACCTTAAAAAGAATAGAATATGCAACCGTTCTGGCACGACTGGTATAGTTAACACAAATTTGGCATTACCCAGGCCCAGAATGCCCAATCTTGGCTGCTTTTCTTCTAGCCGTGTAACGCTTGCCTAGGTACAAGACAAGCTGGACAGTTGCCTGTAGTTGGGCATATAGGATATCTCAAAGCTGTCTTTTTGTTAGTTGTTGCTGGTTTCATTGCAGTGTGGTTGGGGAAATACAGCACAAGCTTGCTTCTTTCGAATTCACTGGGCGAGTACCATGGAGCCGTGTCCTGACTTTGTGCGTAGCCTGTGCGTCCTGTTCCTCTACGCTCTTTGACTTGGCAGACGTGGAGGCTGGTGTGCCTACATGTGTTACAAAGTGATCCTCTTCATTTCTCCTAATGCTTTTCATTGACTTTGATATTGATAAGTACCAGCTTGCACCGGGCTGGGGCTCACCTGTGACTTCCCTCGTCCCCATTCTTTTCCTTTTAACCTTTTTTCCTCCTTGCGGGATTGCT